TTGAACCATTTTTAAGCACACAGTTCAGTGGTATTAAGTATGTTTGTATTGTTGTGCAACCATCACCATCACTTCCAGAATGCTTCTCACCTTGCAAAACTGAAACTCTGTACCCATTAAACACTAACTCCCCATTCCCCCTCCCTCTAGCCCCTGGCAACTACTATTTAGCTTTCTGTCTCTGTGAATTTGACTAGTCTAGGTACCTCAAAAAAGTGAAGTCATATAATATTTGTCTTTTTGTGACTGGCTTATTTCACTTACCATTAATGTCCTCAAGTTTCATTCATGTTGCAGCATGTGTCAAAATTTCCTTACTTTTTAAGGCTGCATAAGAGTCCATTGTATATATGTACATACCGCATTTTGCTTATCCATTCATCTGTCATGGAAACTTGGGTTGCTTCTTCCTTTTGGCTATTGTGAATAATGCTGCCATGAACACGGGTGTACGAATATTTCTTCAAGACCCTGCTTTCAATTCTTTTGAGTATATACACAGAAGTGACATCGCAAGATCATATGGTAATGCTTATTTCTAATTAACAGGTTTATTTTTTTGAGGAACTGCCATATTGATTCCATAGAGGCTACATCATTTACATTCCCACCAACAGAAACTGAAACAAGAGTTCCAGTTTCTCCATCCTCACCACCATTTGTTACTTTATGTTTTATTCATTTATTTTAAAGCAAGCATCCATTGAGTATCCAGTGTGCCAAGATGCTATACTTGGCAGAAACTGGGGCTGCCAAGATGTTAAGTTCAGGAACTTAGAACACAGCGGGGGAAACAATCAAATTCAAGAGACAGATTAAAATGCAAGGTGATAAGTGTTTAATAGAGATGGAACATAGTTCTATGTAAACAGAGAGGAGGAAATGAGGCATGATTTGGGGCAGTCTTCACAAAGGTCCTAACATTCAAGCTGGATATTAAAAGGTGAATGGTAGGCCCTGGCTGGTTTGGCTCAGCAGTTACAGCATAGGCCCACAGACTAAAGGGTTTCAGGTTTGATTCCCAGTCAAGGGCACTTACCTGGGTTGCAAGTTCAATCCCTGGCCCCAGTTAGGGTCGTGCGGGAGGCAACCAAAAGAAAAAGGTGAGTGGAGGAGTTCAGGTGGAAGTGCAAGGTATTCTAAGCTGACAGCACTTAGTAGCCAGCATCTAAGATGGCCTGCAAAATGGCCACAATTATTCTCACCACCTGGTGATCATGCTCTTTTATAATCCTCCCATTATGCATTGGGACATGAATGGTTCTGACTCATGAGACCAATAGGATATTGTGAAAGTGACTTCTGAGAATATATCATAGAGGACCTTGTGGCTACCTGCCTTGCACCCTCTTGGGTTTTTCACTTTGGGGGAAGTCAACCGCCATGGCATGAGGACACTCAAGATACCTTCTGGAGAGTCGTAAGTGAAGAGGAATTGAAATCTTTGGCCAGTGGGTCTGCCATGTAAGGAAGCCATCATGGAAGCCAGTCCTCCAGCTCTATCAAGCCTTCAGATGACAGACCGCAGCCCTGGCCAACATCTGACTGCAACTGCCTGAAAGCCCCTGAGCCAAAACTGCTCACCAAGTTGTTCATGATTTCCTCACCAAAAGCATGCAAAAGCCAAAAACCCAATGTGAGATAATATATATTTATTATTGTTTTAAGCCACTAAGTTTTGAAATATATACAGGCAGTAACTTATAGCTAGAAGCATGAAAAAATCTGGTATCCAGGCATACCTCGGAGATATTTCGGGTTCAGTTCCAGACCACCACATTTGCTGGTGGAAGGTCTTCTTTCAAGTTGTAAAACAAATGCAACCTCTGTGAAGCGCAGTAAAGCGAAGCGCAGTGGTAGGCCTGTAGTGAAACGATGGCATGAGACCGCAGCCAGTAACTCCAAGTTTAGAGGTGCTCCTGAAAGGCCAGTCTGTGTAAGAGTGGGAGAGGGAGCCATCTGGTGGATGAAGGTGTGTTTAGACTTTCCCTTCTCTTCCCACTCTTCTATTTTTCTAGCTTGTTCTACCCAGCATTTTCTTCTGGAATTTCTCCAAGAGCCACAGTGAAGTTTATGAGTTAAATATGTGGGCCGTACACACTATCACTTATAGATGCAAAGACTAACCTCTGAAAAATGTCAACTTAAGGTATTAATTATTCTCTTTTACTATTTTATTTTCTCCTTTAGTTTCTTCCATTTATCTGCTATGTAGGGGAAAACATCCGTGGCACCAGAATTTGAGGCAAAGAATGAAGATTCAGAATGCTGGAGAAGGGAAAGAAAGAACTAAGTGAACTTGATCACAAAATTTCAGAGTCACACCTCAGAAAGCAGAGTACAACTGACCAATCTCTAATTACCAGGGAGAACTTTTTTTCGTTGATGTTGGCCATGACTGCTGCCCCTTTCTGGTCTTTAGAGGCTTCTTGTATCTTCCAGTGATCTCCCCCAAATAATGTCTAAGAATTCTTGAATAATATCCCTCAATTCTATAGTTGCCAGAAGAGAGAACCAGTAATACTACTAGCCACAACCAGCTTGAGGCCAGTGGCTCAGGCAGACCCAAGGAGGAGAAACTGAAATTTACCTTTGGAGTAAATTACTGATGGTGGGATTTCAAGTAGTTAAGATATTGAAGAAAAAAATTCTTCTTTTATACTTCTTCTAGACTCATCCTAAAGAGAAGAGGCAGAGTCCAGCGGACAAGCCTGGGCAGGCCACAAAGCAAACCCATTCCTTTAACAAGTAGGGATATTTCTGATATAGTTAGTGGTGTACAGTAGCCCTCCTTATCTGCCATTTTACTTTCCACTGTTTCACTTACCCTCAATCAACCGTGGTCCAAAAACATTAAATGGAAAATTACAGAAATACACAATTCATAAGTTTTAAATTGTGTGCTATTCTAAGCATGTAGTGTGATGAAATATTGTGCTGTTTTGCTCTGACCTGCCAGGGATGTGACTCATACCTTTGTCCAATGTATCCACAGGGCATATGCTACTGGCCCATTAGTCACTTAGCTGTCTTTGTTATCAGATCGACTGTCATGGTGTCACAGTGCTTGTGTTAAAAAAATCCTTATTTTACCTAATAATGGCCCCCAAACACAAGAATAGTGATGCTAGTGATTCAGATATGCCAAAGAGAAGCTGTAAAGTGCTTCCTTTAAATGAAAAGATGAGTACAGTACAGTAAGATGCTTTGAGAGAGAAAGACCACATTCACATACTTTTAAAAAAGAATAATTTATTGAATGTTAGAGAGAGGAACAGAGAGGATGAAACATGGATGTGAGGTGATACATCAATCAGCTGTCTCCTGCACACTTAAAACCCAGTTATGTGCCCTGACTGGGAATCAAACCAGCAACCTTTTGGTGCATGGGAGGATGCCCAACCAACTGAGCCACACCAGCCAGGGCTCCCATAACTTATAACAGTATATTGTTTTAATTTTTCTATTTTATTATTAGTTATTACTGTTAATCTCTTACTGTGCCTAATTTATAAATTAAACTTTATCATAGGTAGGTATGTATAGAAAAAAAAAAAACATAGTATAGATAGGATCTGGCACTATCTGCTGGGATTTCAGGCATCCACTGGGGGCCTTGAAACATATCCCCCCCTTCCCAAGGTGGGACTACTGTATGTGGGATTCTATCTGTCTACATTCTGGCTGTTTGGAGGGGGAAATGATTGTTTCCAGCTGGGGCAATCAGAGAACGACATTTGACTCCTGCTTACATGAATGGACTGGATTAGGGCCAAAGCAGGAGTGGGGGGAGTGCATTCCACCCCAAGCTCACAGCACTAGCAAGGCAATGCCCAAGCAACGGAGGGCTCGCTCAATTGACTCAAGTTAAGATACTCTTGAAAGAAAGTAGCAGGGGATGAGGTCAATACGTTAAGACTAAGATGGGTGGTGGTATGACTGGGTGCACCCGAGTCCGTTAAGGATGCAGACGAAAATTCTTCACTTTAGGTTCTTTCCAACTGTTCCCTGTCGGAATCTTTCAGAGCGAGGCGGAGACAGCCAGCGACTGGCCACCGAAGCGCTTGCTCCCAGGGCTCCGCAGGATTTCGCGAATTGCGGTCGCGCAGGGGCGGAGCGGAGTCCGGGCCCGGCTGAGGGGAAAGCGCGCAGGCGCAGTGATAACGAGAGCATTTACCTGTGCTGGAGAGGGCGGTGCTAAGCCCGGGAGCGCGGCCGGAGGCGGGGCGAGCGCGATGGCGTCACGTGCACGCCGCCGCACACTGCGAGGAAGCGGCGGCGGGGGAGGCGGAGGAGGTTCTCGGACCAGCGACTTCAGAACCGCATTGGAGAGAGGCGAGCTGTCGGAGTGGGGCGGGCCTATCGGCCCTATCAGTGCCCCCTGGCCGTCCCCGCCCCTCCCTCAACCAACCCCGCAACCGCGTAGGTGAGGTACCACCTGCTCCCCACTCCCTTGCTTCCGCCGATTGTGTGGAGTTGGGGGCCACCACCTGCTGGCCCAGCGACCTTGGGCGTGGCCTGCCTTAGTCTGGGCCACAGGGCCGCGTCAGGCTCCCAGGGCTTCAGACGTCGGGGTCCGGGCCCCTGCCGGCGCTGAGGTGCTTCACCCCTCCTGGACTCCCGCCTCGCGCCGCCCTGGGTCCTTTCGGCCTGCGGGGGTTTTGGTGGCCCCTCTGTCAGCCCGTCCCCCGCCGTTAGATTGCATCCCCTTGCCTGGACTGGCTTTTGTTGCTGTGCGCCGAGGTCCCGCCCCCTTGTTTTTGCTTAGCGTTTGGGCAGGACTTTGAAATGAGGAAAGAGGGTGAGCGTTTCCTGTGGCTATCCAGAGAAGGGAGATGGGGCGTTACGGAAGGTGACTGCCTCGCAGGGTTCAAAGGGGGGGAGGGGGCAGAAGGGAGGATAGTGGGTAGGGATGGTCCAGGAAGTTGTCGGGAACAAAAGGGCGAGGGAAGGGTTAGGGAATGGGGCGGCGCAGGAGAAAGCACTGGGCAGTTAATTTACTCATTATGCGCCCACTGTGTGCAGAAACAGTGGTGAATGGCAGACGTAGTCCTTTAACTGGTGGAGCTCAAAATTAAGAGGGGCAGCCTGGGAAGAAAGCGGGGAGTGTCACTTTGCTGTGATAAATGCTGTTAGGCTGAGTACATAATCCTTTGGGAGCATTGGGGAGGTGTCCTAGTCCGAACTGGAGGTGTTGGCAAAGATTTCTCAGAGCAAGGGAGTGATATTTAAGCCAAATACTGGAAGGAATAGTAGGAATTAACCAGGTAAAGAGTGGGAGAAAAATATTTCAGGACATCAATCCTCTTGAGACTCCAGGTTACCTCCCTTCAGCAACCATGTGTGCTTGGTCTTTACAGTTTGCTTGGTCTTTACAGTTTATACTCTTTAATGGGTGTGTGGGGAAAAAGAACATTAGATAGAGAGTCGGAAGAGCAGGATTTTATATCTGGGTAATTCATTTCACCTTGTAGAATGTTAGTTTCCTCTGTGAAATGGACATTCCACCTGTAGTCCTGCCTACCTCACAGGTTGATTGTGGGCACCACATGAAATAATGCAAGTAGAATTGTGTGGGGCATTGGAAGTGTGATGGAAATATCAGGAATTAATTATGGTTGCAGGATGCAGTCATCAGAACGTGAGCCTGAGGCCAGCCCCAGCGTGATGCCTGAGGCTCCCCCGGAGTCTCCACCAGCCCCTGCCAAATCCCCTGCGTTTGATCTTTTCAACTTGGTTCTGTCCTACAAGAGGCTGGAGATCTACCTTGAACCTCTGAAGGACGCAGGTGACGGTGTCCGGTACTTGCTCAGGTACAGACTTTGTAGAGTTTCTCTGACCTTCTGGGTCTCCTGCTCTGTAGTTGCACCGGCTGTTTAGGCAGTAGCTGGGCTGTCCTTTCTGCCCTAGTGAAGGTCCATTGGGCCTCTGGGCTTATTCCAGGCCCATCCTGTGTCTCAGGCCCAGCCCAGGAGAGGCAGGCACTGGGAACCATCTGGCCTTTCACCAGGGTTTCTTCTTTGTGGTTGAATAATCTTATACCTCAGGATTTCGAGCTAACCTTGAACATTGGGCCTTCTATATCTAGAGCATGCTTTTTTCCTCCTTCCAATATTAGCTTAATTAATATTAAAATTAGAAAATAATTTTGAATGTAAGTTAAAGAAATACAAATACCTATGAATAAGTAGGTACTATTTTCACGAATCCTTTAGGATTATAGGTCTCAAATTTTTTTGTTCCTATTCTGCTTTGATTTTCATCCTACATAATTTTCTTTTTCTTCTTTCAGCTCATTTTATATCTTATATTAAAGTATTTTAAATTACAGATATGTGCCATTTCACTCTCTAAATACTTCTCTTTGTTTCAAAATAAGGACTTTTTTTCATAATCAAAGTAACATCATAGCTAACAAAAATAACAATAATTCCATGATATCTCCCTGTATCCAATTCATACTCAGATTTCCTCAGTTGTCCCAAGAATGTCATTTACAATTTTTTTTGACCAATGAGGTTCCAGTCCAGACTATACATTCTCTGTGGTTAGTAAGTCTCTTAAGTCTTCTCAGTCTAATGTGGTTTCTTCTTTTATAAAACTGACTTGCTGAAGAGACTCGGCTCACTGTTCTGGAGAACTTCCTATACAGATATGTCTGGTTGCTTCTTCATGGTGCAAACTGCAAGTTAGATTTAAAGATTGGATTGAATTTAAATTAAAAAAAAATTTTTTTTTACAAAGGTCATGTGTTTTTAATATTGCATCTCAGTGGGAGTCCATAAAACCTGGCTGTCTTAAAGAACAGGCGTTCTAACCCTGGAGCCTGTGAAATGGGCTTTAGGGGCTTTAGAAGCTCCTGAAACAATGAAAATTATATGTAGGCACACATATAGATTTCTAGGAAGAAGCTTCTAATTTTATCAGATTCTCATAAAGGATCTTCAACCCTCTAAGATGCTCAGGAGAGACAGGTAGGGAAAAATGGAAAAAAAAAATGATAACGAGAGACAGGTAGGAGGCAGAGTGAGTGGAGTGGGGTTAACCTCTAAGGGTGCTGTTGAATAATCATTCTTACCTTAGTGTGGAAATAGTGGGAGGTTTATTTTTAACTTTCTGACCAAAGCCCTAATTTTTCTTATTCTTTCCAGAGCCCCTTTACTTTATGGCATTATCTCTGGAGATGAGCTACTCAGTGTTCCAGAGCAATATTCTCTACTGTTAGATCACTGTACTCTTGGTGCAAGTGATAGTGAGACAGTATGAGGAGGAGTTCATTTTATAATCCCACCATGAACTATCTGAAATGAACTTCAGTCTCCTCTAGGGGAGGAGTTGGCTCTGGAGAGCAAGGGGCTGTGCTCTCTGGTGTTTTCCACTATGCGTGCGGATGTACGCATGTATGAGTGCAGAAGTATGTATGTATGTATGTATGTATGTATGTGTACGTGTGTTTTGCCCTTTTTTGGCAAAATGCAGAAGTTCAGTATATCTTGCCATTCTTTTGTGCCTATTAGTGCTTCTTAGCACTAATGTGTTAGGGTTTTTTCCTTTTATGAAATTAGAAATCTGAGGATGTGGTGGGATTGATGGAGGAGATGCATTGGGCTTAAAAAGCCCTTAGGAGCTTGTGGTCTCCATGCCACTGGGAGACAGAGCACTGGTTTGTGAAAGTGGCTGTCAGATTAGTTTGTGCATTTGATTGTTCTTTTCTTAGTAAAGAGGATTTGACTTGGAAAAGGGACTTAATCTTGAGCTGTGTCTGTTAGGTCTGAAGCCTAGATCTGCAGGTAGATTTTTATTTACATTTATTTATTTATTGAAAGTGGAAGGGAGGGAGGGAGGGAGAGAGAGAGAAAGAAAGAGAAATGTCTGTGTGCGAGAGACACATTGATCAGTTACATCCCTCATGTGCCCCAACCAGGGCAGGGATTGAACCTGCAACCCAGGTATGTGCCCTTTAACCTGGAATCCAACCCTTGACCCTCTGATGTGTGGGCTGATGCTTTAACCACTTAGCACACCGGCCAGGGCTGCAGTAGATTTTTAAAAGACTCCTCTTTTCTGGGATTAGCTATTCTAGTAGGTAGGCCTCCATGTCCAAAATGTCAGTGAAGACAGATAGAATGGGAGAGGGTTTAAAATGAATGATTTCAGTGGCTATGTGATGCTTTTATTTCTGAAATGGGATTGGTTTTAGACCTGACTTTTAATTTGCTTTTATCCTGGTAGCTGCCTCTAGATGGTTGGTGGCCTAATTAGGGTGGGTACAGTTGGAATGTGTTGAATTTTAAGAAACAGGCAGAGAGAGAGGTCATTCATTCCCTTGCTATAACTGTTAAGAAATAAAAGCAGCACACATTTCAGTTTACCTCATTTAGTAACTCTGAAATACTCCAATTAGAGCAAAAAAAAAAAAAAATACATTAAAGTTCTGAATACATTGCTTGCCAGCAACTTACTTGTTTATTTTTCTGTTTGTTTTTCTCCTCTGATGGCTGACCTTACTGACGCTGTTCTTTAGACTGTACGTGTCAGTGGCTTCATTATTACATCTGTGCTCTTTTTTCCCTGTAAAATGTCTTTTATCAGGGACTAAGCCAGCAGTATTTGCTTGTCCTTAGCAGCCTGAGTCTCTGGTCTTCTCTCTTTGAAGGCTTCTGCTTTTCCATTGGGTGGTGATGATGGGAGCTGGGTCTGTGCTTTCATCTGGTCCTGTTTACTTAGGGCATGTTTGTGAAGAGAATGCTACACCCTGGTTTTGCCTTCATTTTTTAATATATTAAAAATATTTTCCTCTTTTTCTATTAATGTATGTTTAAAGCAAACTCAAAATTGCAGAAATAGGAGAAAGTTATAAATGGGGTCAGAGAAATCCTTTATATTTTGTTCTCTTGATTTCTGTATTAGATGAATCTTGTGCAGTGAATATATGTTCTTATGAAACTGGAAAAATATGTATCTTGATAAAAATAAAGGAAAATTTTAGAGAAGAATGTTTGTCATTGTTACCTTTTAAAGAGACTAGAACCTTATAAAACAGAGGATAAACTGTATTAACTAGATATTTTGTTGTTTTTTGTTTTTTGAGTGCCTCAGGGTTGGGTAGATGTGCACAAACAACTGTCAACAAATGATTGTTGGCACCAATTCAGTGCCAACAGGAATCTCCAATTTGGGGTACAGTGAAGAAGGAAACTTTAGGGCAAAACAGCTCAATTATGATACAGCACAGTTGTGAAAACCGCAGGCTGTGAGGTGGACCTGGGGCCAGGCTCCTCTCTGGCTAGACAGCTCTGCCTGCTCTTCGCTGGTCTGCTTGGCTCTGCTGCGCTCCACGCCAGCCTGCTTTGCCCTGCGCTAGTCTGGTCCACTCTGCTCTGGTCTGCCCTGCTCTAGTCTGCTCTTCTCGGCTCGGCTCTGTTCTGTTCCAGTATGCTCGGGCCTGTGTTGGTCTGCTCCACTGTGCTCCAGTGAACATCTTCAGTGTTTCAGCTCCAGCCAGGGAAAGAAGTCTTAGGTAGAAAGGGAAAGTGCACTCCTAACTAGGTTTCTTAATAGATAATATTATGAACGTTTTCTGTTCCTGGGAGAAAGTGCTACAGATATTGTAGTCCTAAGAGGATACCTTTTCTCACCCCAGGGTCTAATATGTGACTTTAACTCCTCTCCCAGGCGCCTGTCCAAGTGAGAGACCCAGTTTTCATTTCTCCTTGACACCCTGAACTACAGGCCCTTCTCCTGCTCCTGGTTTTAATGTCTCACCTGTGCTGGCTCAGTCCCCCTTCCCACTTGGAGGAGCGACTGAGTGGACTTGAGTGACTAGAACTCTCTATGTTGTAGGTGGCAGACGCCTTTGTGTTCCTTGCTGACCTGCCTGGGCCTCAACGTCTTGTTCCTCACTTTGAATGAGGGTAAGAACTGCTTCCAGGGACCAGGGTTTTTTTTTTTTTTTTTTTTTTTTGGTGAGTAAATGGGAGGAATTCTGAAAAGCAGCCCCGTGTGAAGGAGCCACACTGGTCTTGCCCTGGAGTTGGCCTTCTTGTATGTCTGCATGATGTTAGAACACAAGTTCTCGAGAGACACATGCTGGGCTAGAATCCTGGCTGGGCTCGGGGTGTGACCTAACACCTAATTTTCCTTATATTTAAAGGGAGAATAACAGTGCTTTTCTCAGAGTGTGGTTGTAGGGAGTGAGAGTATCTATGTATAACACTTAGCTCAGTGCCTCACACAGATAAGCAGCCAGTACTTTATAGTAGTTCCCCCTTATCCACAGTTGTGCTTTCCATGGTTTCAGTTGTTTGCTGTCAACCTACAGTGTGCTAGCATAGGTTTTAAAAATATTTTCAAAAATATTAAATGGGAAAGTTCAGAAATAAGCAATTTATAAATTTTAAATTTGAGGGGCCAATCTGAGTAGCCTGATGGAATCTCTCACCATCCCACTCTGTCTCTCCTGGGATGGAAGTCATCCCTTTGTTCAGTGTCTCCTCTTTGTATATGCTGCCTGTCACGTTGTAGACCTCTTGGTGATCAGATTGACTATCACGGTGTTGCTGCACGTACCCCCTCCCCTTTTTTAAACTAAGTAATGGCCCCAAAGCTCAAGAGTAGTGATGCTGGCAATTTGGATATGTCAAAGAAGCTGTAAAGAGCTTCCTTTAAATGAAAAGGTGGAAGTTCTTGACTTAAAGAAAGAAAAAATATTGTGTGCTGAGGTTGCTAAACTTTACAGTAAGAATGAATCTTCTGTCTGTGAAATTGCCTAATTTATAAACTAAACTTTATCATAGGTATGTATGTATAGGAAAAACAGTGTATGTAGGAATCAGTAAGATCCACGGGTTTAGGTATCCACTGGGACTTGGATCATATCCCTGCAGGTAAGGAGGTCTTCTGTATTGCTATTATTATTATTGTTTTTTCTTGACTGAATGCTTATTCTAGTTTGGTTTCCAAGCTGATTCTGGGGTCATTTGGGGCATGACATGGGGTGAGGGGATCAGGAAGGTGAGCTGATGAGGATTTTTGCCACATCTGTTGATTTTTTTCTGGCTCAGCAAATGATCCCAGTGGGGGTTGCCAGGCACCACCACCAGTGAGGGGTCTAGTGTGAAGCCTTTGAGTAGATGTGTGGACAGGTGGGTGGCTGTATGGGTCCTGGGTAGTGATGTCTCCTGGGGACCTATTGTGATAAGGTGTGCGGTGAACCAGCCCTTTCTCTTGTGGTAATTGGCAGATGGCTGCAAAAAAAAAAAAAAAAAAAAGCTGAATCCCTCAGGGGAAATGAGCGAAGGACCTGGCATAGATTGTTTTTAGGCGCTGGGTCCTTTACTCATATATTCATTCTTCTGTTGAATCCCCATTTCTCAAGTCTCCTTTGTTTCCTATGGAGAGATGGACTCGGTGGTTTGAAAATAAACCCATTTCGCCCTGGCTGGTTTGGCTCAGCGGTTAGAGCATCGGCCTGTGGTCCAGAGAGACCCGGGTTCGGTTCCCGCTAAGGGCATGCATCTTGGTTGCAGTTTGTCCCCGACCCTGGTTGGGTCTACGGGTGGCAGCCACTAGATGTGTGCCTTTCACGTGGATGTTTCTCTCTCTCCCTCCCACTCTATCTAAACAAAAGATGGAAAAATGTCCTCGGGTGAGGATAAAAAAAGAAAAAGAAAAAAAAAACCCATTTCACCTAAGAAAGACCTCCTATTATTTCTCAGTGGGGCTCTCCTCTGCCTGATTGAAATGCAAATATCATTCCCAGGCTGTTAGGTTTTTCTGAACATATTTCCAAAATAAATCAGATGATATTTTTTCTGTGCCCAATGCTCCATTAGCCTGCCTTGGGGTACCCAAGTTCCTTTGGATTTTCTCTCAGCTTCACCGTTTTTCAGTCCACAGTAGTCTGGGGTATCCTAAAAGCCAAAGGAAAGGTTTCCAATTTGCCCCAGTTGGCCCAAAGGTCAGAATACAGTTATCAGGAGCCCCCCAGTGGCCAGACTCCAGACACGAGCCACCTACTGTATGCCTGCGTGGGTTTTTTAATATGAAAAACATGGGTTTGGTGCTATAACAGTGACCAGATAGACAAAATCCCAGCCCTCAATAGTCTACATTTGTGGGAGAGACAGCAACCATATCTATAATCTGTCCTGTAGTAAGTTCAGTGAAGTAAAATAAAACTGAGGTGAGGGCTGGACACTGTTTCCTGTGGAGTGATCAGAGAAGGCCTCTCAGGCAGAGTCCTGGAGGAGATGAGGGAGCAAGCATGTGGAGGGTGAGCGAGACTCCGGATCCTTGCTCTACCTGTTTACTTACAGTATTGTTGATCCCACAGGTGCATGGTACTCTGTGGGTGCCCTGGTGATTTCAGTGCCCGCTCTTCTGGGCTACCTGCAGGAAGTTTGCCGGGCACGGCTGCCCGAGTCTGAGCTGATGCGGAGGAAATACCATAGCGTGAGGCAGGAGGACCTGCAGAGAGTTCGCCTGTCTCGCCCCGAGGCTGTGGCTGAGGTGAAGAGCTTGTGAGTATGGAAGGGGCCAGGGAGGTGAGGGACATTCACAGTAAAACCTTCCACCACACTGAGTGTGCCAGACATTGTATTAGGTAAACCACAGATGTAATTTCCTTTTATCTTTTTAACAGTTCTGGGAGTTAGCTGCTATTATTATGTTTCATTTATGGGTGAGGAGAAGGGCTTTCAAAGCTAGAATCTGATCGAGCTGGGATGAGAATCCAGATCCAGCTGGTTTCACAGTTTGTGTTCTTTCCACTAGAGACAGTTTAGGGTGTTGACTTAGCATGTGCACCCAGGAGCCACTGCCTGGGTTCAAGTCCTAGTTCTTTCATTACTTACTGTGTGGTACTGGGCAAGTCGCTCAGCTTTCCTGTGCCTCCAGTTCTTAAATGAGGTAATAATAGGCTTACGTCACAGGTGGTTGTGAAGATTAAACGAGTGTCTAGTACCCAGGAAGTGTTCAGTAAATGTTAGTCATCATCACTGCACTATGGAGACACTTCTTAAATGTGACAGAGCTGGTACTTCTGAGGAAGCACCTTAAGACTGTCAAATAATATTAACATAACTTCAGTGGCAGCTGCCATTTAGTGAGTCCTCCCTGAACTGGGCTTTCTTGACATATAGCAGGGTTCTCATCCCTCCCGGGGCAGCGGAGGCATCTGTGGAGCTTCCAAAAAACAGTTGGAAGTCCCCCACCTTCCCCCCAACCTCCCTCGCCCTTCCCTGGCGAAACTCTGAGTCAGTTATCTGGAGTGGGGCCTGAGTGTCTGGGGTTTAAAAAAATATATTTTACTTTGAGGTGATTTTAAGCTAAAGACAACTGGAATGTATAGTTTCAGTCTTTATTAGGATATAGATTGTAGTTAGTAAACCTGTATATGACTTATTCAAGTGAGGTTGTGAAAGAAAAAAACCAAATAAACAAAACCTTACAGAACAGTTGCAAGAATAACAAAGAACTCTCACGTGCCCTTTACTCAGAACAGTTATCAACATTTTGTCACATTGACTGCATCTTTCTTCTTCACGCTATTTTCTTCTTTCTGAACCAGTTGAAATTAAGTTGCAAACATCATGCCTGTCTTCCCCAGATACTTCAGTGTGTATTTTCTAAGAACAAGGACATTCTTTTATATAGCCTTAGTCCTGTAATCAAAATTAGGAAAATTTACCTTGATAACATTAACATTAGTATTATTATTAAATATAGAGTTCATAGTCAAATTTTACCAGTTGTGTTAATAAAGTATTTTTTTTTTTTTTTTTTTATCCTCACCCAAGGACACTTTTCCACTTTTTGTTCAGATAGAGTAGGAGGGAGAGAGAGAGGAAGAGAGAGAGAGAGAGAGAGAGAGAAACATCGATGTGAAAGGGACACATCGAGTGGCTGCCACCCACACAACCCAACCAGGGCAGGGGACAGACTGCAACTGTGGTACATGCCCCTAGCGGGAACTGAACCTGGGTCTCTCTGGACCACAGGCTGATACTCTAACCGCTGAGCCAAACCAGCCAGGGCAATAAAATCTTTTATGTAAATTTCCCCTGATCCAGGATCCAATCCAGAATCACACATTGCATTTACCCTTTTTTTTTTTTGGTCCTCACCCGAGGACATTTTTTCATTTTTTGTTCAGATAGAGTGGAAAGGAGAGAGAGGAAGAGAGAGAGAGAAACATCGACATGAAAGAGACACATCAAGTGGCTGCCACCTGCATGACCCCACCATAGGAAGGAGAGAGAGGAAGAGAGAGAGAGAGAAACATCGACATGAAAGAGACACATTGAGTGGCTGCCTCCTGCACGACTCAACCAGGGCCGGGGACAAACTGCAACTGAGGTACATGCCCTTAGCGGGAACTGAACCCCGGTGTCTCTGGACCGCAGGCCGATGCTCTAACCGCTGAGCCAAACCAGCCAGGGCACGACCTTGGCTTTTTAAAAATAGAACAAGCTTATTATTTTGTAGGATTTCCCTCAGTTTGGGGTTGTTTGGTTCCTCATGATTAGATCCAGGCTGTGGGTTGTTGGCAGGAAATGACAGGTGACATGGTATCCTTGTCGGTGCATCACTTCAGGAGTACACGATATCAGTCTGTCTCGATATGGGAGATACTAACTTTGATCCCTTGGTTAAGGTTTCTCCATGGTAAGATGACCCTTTTACTTTTTAGAGTTAGTAATCTGAGGGGGGTACACAAGTAAACACCTTGTTCTTCATCAAACATTTACCCACTACTTTTAAATTCATTGATGGGTCTTGGCTTTACCAATTTATTCCCATTATGATTACAAAGGTGATTTTCTAATTGTCATTATTAGCTGGCATTCTACTGTAATTCTAATTTATTATCAATATGAATTCAACATTTTTTTTAATCCTCACCTGAGGATATTCCTCCATTTATCTTCAGATAGAGTGTGAGGGAGAGAGGGGACTGGGGGAAAGAGAAAGAGAAAGAAACATTGATGTGAGAGAGACACATTGGTTGGTTGCCTCCCTCACAACCCTGACCAGGGCTGGGAACCGAACCAAACCAAGGTACATGCCCTTGACTGGAACTGAACCTGAGACTCTTGTCTATGGGCTAACGCTCTAACTGCTGAGCCAAACCAGCCAGGGCTGAATGCAAGATTTTAAAATTTAATTCAGTGAGTCATAATTTATTACTGTCATTATTTATTCTGATCTCAAATTGTCCTAGATTTGGCCAGTAGGATCACTTTTGAACTGGCCCCTGTGTTGTTTTGCTCTGCCCCCATCTTTTTTTTTTTAATGTTTTTTTCTTTGATTTTAGAGGAAGGGAGAGGAAGAGAGAGAGAGAGAGAGAAACATGGATGAGAGAGAACATCAATTGGACTCCTCCTGCATACCCCTCACTGGGGATTTGGCCCATAACCTGGGCATGTGCCCTGACCGGGAATCAAAACAGAGACTTCTTGGTGCGTGGGTCGACACTCAACCACTGAGCAACACCAGCCGACCCCATCTTTTTTGAGTGCTTTCTTACTTTATGGGACAATAGGATGTTCAGATTGGTTTTATACTTTCCCTGCTCTAGCTGTAGAATCAGTCATTTCTCCAAGGAGCATTTCAGAAACCAAGATCTGAATGCTCATTGTACAAGCTTGTGCTCATTGCTTCTGGGATATATCTATTTAAAAAAAAAAACCTCTCCAAGTGAGTCTGCCTTACATACCAACTGGAGACACATTGACCTATCTACCTCCTGTCATTTATCCTCACAGCTCTAGTGTATCTGTGAGGTGGCTACCCTGATCCTCATTTTATAGAGGAGAACGGCAGCCCACTTAAGTAAAGGTAAGTGACTGGCCTTCTAACAATAGGTAGAAAGAGACCAAAGCAGGAACTTCATACTGTTTCCACCTCAGTGGGGATTCCAAAAGGAGGACTAAAATGTATGAATGTTCTCCCGAGTTCTCTGGCCCCTCCCGAGGGTTTGGAGAGATCGGCCACCCCTAGCCAGCTGGGCTTGTGAAATCTTAGGCTCTGCTGGCTCAGAGCTCTGTCAGGCCCCTTGGGTGAGTGGGGCAGGGGGAGTGGCTCACAGAAGCCCTTTGTGTCTGCAGCTTGATCCAGCTGGAGGCCTTCCTGCGCCACCTGTGCTGCACCTGTGAAGCTGTCTACCGAGTGCTACGCTGGGAGAACCCCACCGTGTCCTCGCAGTGAGTGGCCCCTCTGCTCCCACTACCACTGTGCTAGAGGAAGTTGCAAAGTGAGCTGCCTTGAGGGCACCAGTGCCCCTAGCTCAGGGGATGAGAGCCCCTGAGGCTCTTGTGTGCAGACTTGCATGTAGGCTTGTAGGTGGGAATGCACTTCTTTTGTGTTTGGTAAAAATATTTTAATAATAGAAAAAGAACTTGCCATGTAATCTCCCACCCCAGTATAGCGGCTGATATCATGTTTAGATTGACCTGTAGAGTTTGTCATATGCATATACTCTGTAGCCTCACAGTGTATGTGAGATTCCCTTTTTTTTCTTTTTCACTTACCATTATATATCATAAATGGTTTTCTTTAATTTTTTTTATCCTCACCTGAGAACATGTCTCCATTTTTTTGTTCAGATAGAGTGGGAGGGGGAGAGAGGAATACAGAGAGAGAGAGAGAGAGAGAGAGAGAAACATCGACGTGAAAGGGACACATCGAGTGGCCATCTCCTGCATGACTCCAACCAGGGCCGGGGATGAATTGCAACCGAGGTACGTGCCCTTGACTGGAATTGAGCATGTGACTCGTTGGTCTGCAGGCTGACGCTCTAACCACTGAGCAAAACCGGCCAGGGCTTCTTTTCCTTTTTTTGAATATGTTTTTATTGCCTGGCTGGTGTGGCTCAGTGGTTGAGCGTCAACCCATGCATCAGGGGGTCGCCAGTTCAATTCCCAGTCAGGGCACATGCCCAGGCTGTGGGCCTGATCCCCGCTGGGGAGCATGCAGTAGGCGGCCAGTCGATGTTCTCTCATCATCGGTATTTCTGCCTCTCCCTTCTCTTTCCTCTGTCTCTCAATAAAGAAAAAAATTAAATATGTTTTTATTGATTTTTTTTTAGAGAGAGAGGAAGGGAGAGAGAGATAGAAACATCGATGTGAGAGGAAAACATCAATCAGCTGCCTCCTGCATGCCCCCTGTTGGGGACGGAGTCTGCAACCCCAGCATGTGCCCGACCAGGAATCGAACCAGGACATCTCAGTCCATGGGACGACACTCAGTCTACTGAGCTACACTGACTAGGCATAAATGGTTTTCTTTTTTTTTTTTCTTTTTCTTTATCCTCACCCGAGGACATTTTTCCATTTTTTGTTCAGATAGAGCAGGAGGGAGAGAGAGGAAGAGAGACAGAGAGAAACATCGATGTGAAGGGACACATCGAGTGGCTGCCACCCGCACGACCAACCAGGGCCGGGGACAAACTGCAACCAAGGTACGTGCCCTTAGCGGGAATCGAACCCGGGTCTCTCTGTACCGCAGGCCGACGCTCCAACCGCTGAGCCAAACCAGCCAGGGCATAAATGGTTTTCTTTGTTGCTGCATGGCTTTTGGAATTATTGTAATACCAGATTAATATCGATGGTGAATATACTATGATTTATGGAACCATTCTGTTACACATTTAGTCAATTTTAACTTTTATTACTAACCCTGTAAGGCAGTGGTTCTCAACCTTCCTAATGCCACGACCCTTAAATACAGTTCCTCATGTTGTATGTGGGCGTATCTGCATGTGGGCGGACCTGCCGGGAGATGGATAGAAGAGCCGTATCTCAGTTCTTAAGACCATGGGAAATATGTGTTTTCTGATGGTCTTAGGTGACCCCTGTGACAGGGTCGTTCGACCCCCAAAGGGGTTGTGACCCACAGGTTGAGAACCGCTGTAAAGGTTTAGCTTTAATTTTTTGAAAAAATTTTCTGCCCTGGCCAGTTTGACTCAGCAGTTAGAGTGTCGGCCTGAGGACCAATGAGTCGTGGGTTCAATTCTGGTCAAGGGCATGTACCTCCGTTGTGGTTCATCTCCGGCTCTGGTCAGGTCGTGTAGAAGGCAACCAGTCAATGTGGCTCATCACATCGATGTTTCTTTCTGTCTCTTGCTCTCTCCCTCCCTCTCACTGTGTCTGATGATAAATGGAAAAATATCCTCAGGCGAGGAATAAAAAATATATATTTTTTTCTTAGAATAAATTCAAGGATGAAACTATGGATACCATGAAAAGAATGTCCTTTAGGCCCTTTATGTATAAATAATACTGATAACTAGTAGTTATTTAGTTTTCCCCTTGTGCCAGGCCCTTGCTCAACACTTCCCATGTATTATCTTACTTTTCATAGTAACTCTAGGTGGTAGGCACTTTTTAATCCCTACTTTACCCGTGAAGGAAGTAACACTCAGAGAACCAAGGGATTTGCTTAAGGCAGTGGTTCTCAACCTTCCTAATGTCGCAACCCTTTAATACAGTTCCTCATGTTGTGGTGACCCCCAACCATAAAATTATTTTTGTTGCTACTTCATAACTGTAATTTTGCTACTGTTATGTCTTAGGTGACCCCTGTGAAAGGGTCGTTCGACCCTCAAAGGGGTTGCGACCCACAGGTTGAGAACCTCTGGCCCAAGGGCACACAGTGAGAAGTGGCAAAGCTGGACTCAAAGCTAAGTTTGTCTTATTCTCGACTGTCAGAGTCGAGAGCCTGAGGAGTGATGAGCGTTGAACCCATTTATGTGGCCCCTGCCTCAGTCACCACGGTGGCCTCACCGTCTCCGTTGTTAGCAATCAGTGACTTGTTGGTAGTTGTAAAGCCTTCCACCTCACTTTATTGTCCACTTGTTTGATTAGCAGATCTTGTCAGTTTATTAACTTCCCAGAACTATTTCTTTCCCGACCCCTATATGGTGTGCCCCAAATTAGTTCCTTCTGATCTTATGAATTCCTGATCCTGTGGTTCCTCTGTCGATCCAGGTTCTATGGGGCTCTTCTGGGCACGGTTTGCATGCTGTATCTGCTGCCGCTGTGTTGGGTCCTTGCCCTTTTAAACAGCACACTCTTTCTAGGGAATGTGGAGTTCTTCCGAGGTAAGCCCTGGAGAGCCTGACAGGTGGGCTCCTTGTTTATCTGTCTCCATAGCCGATCATCTGTTTGCTATTCCTTCCACAAGGGGGCAGCACCACACTAGGAGGGCTCTCCTGGGCTCTGCCTCTCTCAGATGTTACTTGGAACACTGGGGAGGCTGCTGTTGTAGGGGTCCCTCTGCCTTTCTGAGGCAGGTAAACCAATGCTTACGTGGTATAGTGGCTTCTGGGAGGTGTGGGAGGGATGTTTTTCCAGTGCTGCCACCCAACTCCTGGGATGCAATCCCCTGGAGTTGCTGCCACACCTTGTGTGATCCCAGAGTCCCCATCTGCCATCTGGCTTCTAAAGCAATGAGGCAGTCTGGAGGGGCCCTGAGTTACAGATGTTTGGGCCTGAACATGTGTTTGACTGATTGCTATATTTGCTTTCCTTGCTGTGGTTGGGTAATTAATTACAGAATACCTAATTTATTGAGCACTTACTACATTTAATCTCTATCGCAATCTCATAGTGTAGGTGGTGGTATCTCTGCTTTGTTTATGAGGCTTAGATTAGGTGACTTGTTCAGAATTAGGAGGGTGAGTCTTTCCTGTATTAGAGAGTGAGATGCTGGAGAAAGAAGCAACCAGCAGCAGAAATGGATACCCCTAAAATAGCACTCATTCATGCTGTTTGTTCTGTCTCCCATCCCACTCTCCTTGCCCTGGGTAGTGGTGTCTGAGTACAGGGCATCTCTGCAGCGGCGGATGCAACCCAGCCAGGATGAGGGTGCCTTCCAGAGCCCAGCGCCCCCGGATGCTGGGGGGAAGGGCATTCTGCCAGACTGCACGCCTGTACCCACACCCACAGAGGTGAGCACCCCCTACTGTCAGGACAGAGCCTCCTGTGGGCTGGTTCTGGCACCTTCCTGTTAGCAGCTGCTCATACCACATAGCTCCTGGGCTGCCCTCTATGTGGTTCCTATTTCTTCCCAGGCCTCATCCCCTCTGAGGTGCTTAATAATAATAATTGTAATAGTAATGGCCACTCTGTGCTTTATCGAGTAGTTATTCTGCTGTTCCAAATACTCTGTAGATATTAACCCTGTGAGGAGTGGGCTGTTTCTGAGGATGAGACTGTCTCCTTTGCAGAGGAGAAGGTTGAGCACAGAGCAGCTGCCGGAGGGCGGTGTTGCAGGACTCGGACCAGGCCCTGTAGCTCTAGAGCCCATGCCCTCAGCCACTGTGCTGTGCAGCCACTGTGGGCCCGTCATGGTCTCGGTCCCCTCCCTGTCCCTGCTGGGCCAGGAGTGCGTCTTTTCTGTGACTTCCTTCTTTCTTGCAGTTGTTCCATTTCCCCGGGGCTGGAACAGAAGTTTTGGGAAACCTGGGTGCTGGCTCAGGGGAGATGGCCTCTGCCTCAGGGGCCAGGGCTGCTATCGCTCTCCTTTGTAATCAATTCTCTCTTTCCAGGACCTCACGCCAGGCAGTGTGGAGGAGGCCGAGGAGGCCGAGCCTGATGAGGAGTTTAAAGATGCGATTGAGGTGGGTGGCCCTTCCCTAGCACCCTCTACTGACCAGGCCAGAAGTTGGGTGGTCCTGGAGCTGTGCGGCTTCTCACATCCCAAGTCTGGATTTTAAAAATCCTCTTATATTCAAGTAAGAATCTGAAACTTGCTCTGAGCTAGTACTCACTGGATGAAAGGGAACCCCTGAGCTTCTGCTTGTCCTGTTGCTGATCTAGTGATTTGTCCTCGCTGCCCAGGGCAGGGATGGCTTTGGGAGCCTCTGGGGAGTGCCCTGCTGGGCATTGGCTGCAGACTGTGGACTTGTCACCTTGGGTGTGGGGAAGGCAGATTTGGGGTAGGGCACTGTGTTGGGTCTCCGACTGCTCTTATGCAGAATGAGGTCTGAAAGATGCTCCTTTGGGGGTCAGGGAAGGGAGGTTGGAGAAAGTGGTTGCGTGGCCAAGCGCTAGGTCAGAGAAAGTTAAATAGTCTTTCTGACTTTAAGACAGTGGTTCAAGCTGACAGTTTGCAGTGTTTTATTTGGAATACAACCTTAAACTTTTTTTAAGACAGTATTTAAAAGTGGAGAGATTTCAGTGAAAACCCTGGATTTTCAATTTTTCAGAAGCTCTGATAGTCCTGAGTCTGTAATGGTCCATGTAGCTGAGGAGCGACTGTCCTCTTTAGAAAAGTCACACAGTCCCCATCTCTCCTTGTGTTCCCCAGTCACTGAGTCCTATGGCAGTTGTCATTTGGTCACATTTGTGCTATTGTTTTCTTACAGTAGGAAATACTTTCTCCTTGTGTCTCTGTAAAGTGGGAAATTGAGATATAAGTGCCTTTCACCCAGCCCACCCACTTTTACATCAGCACGACCCATGTAGGCATTTACTTTTCAACTGCTGAAAGGTTTCTCAGACGCTGACGTACGAAGTAGACTCTGAATGGGGGTGGTGGTGATGGTGGGGAGTATGTAGAGCAGCAGCTTTCAAGCATTTCTGCCCATAAGCCACGGAAAGGCACACACGGACATCCCGACCCAGTTCACACTCAGGTCGGTAATATGTGTAAAGCTTAACTGAGACAAGTTTCCTAAAAAATATGTCGTAAGGGATCTTTTCTTTCCTGTTCTATTCTATTCTGTTAAAATAATGACCCACTTAATTAATGTCACCCAGTTTGACCAGTACACAGCATCGCCCAAGCTTATTTGATGTTGGAATCCTTTTATGGGGGCCTCTGTTAATGTCACCCTTTGAGACATGCTTAGACAGAACTTGGAGTAGCAGTTTAGTGTTTCCTTTTGCTTGGGGACTCCCTCATAGCAGCTTCCTTCTTCTTGCTATCTCTCTGTTTTCTTTCTTCTCCCCTGCACCTTGGGAACAGGAGACCCACCTGGTGGTGCTGGTAAGGAGGATCCTTGATGAGGTGGGCAGGGGCTGGGCAGGGGGAGGGTGGGCAAGCCAGCTGTCACACCTTGTGGGGTCCACTGTGCCGGGATGCCTCTGCGTGCGGCCTTGGAGCTCTGCCACAGGTGGGCAGGACTGGAAGGAGCTGTTCCCACAGGAGGATGATGAGGGTGCCCCGTGCCCAGTAGAGGATGAGCTGGCCCTGCATGACAACGGGTTCCTGAGCAAGAATGAAGTGCTGCGCAGCAAGGTGTCGCGGCTCACAGAGCGGCTCCGCAAGCGGTACCCCACTAACAACTTTGGTATGGCCAGGACACGGGGACGGGGAGGGGGCGCCATGGCCGCAGGGCCAAACTCTTGGCATTGGGGGTACTGGTTTGTGACAAGAGTGAGGAGTACAGTGGTGTCCATGGGATCCTGGGAAGGTATTAAACACACAGCCGGATTGTTGAGAGAGTGAGTTGTGGGTTCCTCGTCCCTCTGTACTGACCGTTAGCTTGTGGGAAGATAGGAATTCTGTTCGCTGGACTGCAGAGAGAGGTGTGACCCTGAGATGCAGGGCCTCAGAAAGCAGTGTAGCATGATGGCTGAGAACAGAGCATGGCGTCTGAGTGTGGGTGCGACTCCCAGCTCCACTGGGTGTCCTTGAGCAAATTATTTAACTTTTCCATGCCTCAGTTTCCCCTTCTGTAAAAGGAGGATAGTAGTTCTTATCTCACAGAGTTGTTTTGGAACTCAAATAAGATAATGCTTAGTAAGTGCTAGCACAGTACTGGCTGGTTCATAGTCGGTGCTTAATAAGGGGCACTGTTAATATGAGAGGCCCTGGTCCATCCTGCAGGTGCCTCGGAGCCTGTCTGGATCTTTCCTATCTAGGTGGAAGCAAATGGTGTCTTCTCTGGGCATGATAGAGCCCTGAGGTCCCTTCTCCCCAGCCAAGTTCATAGATTGGCTAGTCCTTTTTCACTGGGAGTGAGGGTGGGTCAAGGAAGGCAGCTTTGGAGAAGGGTGGACTTGACTGGTAGTACAGCTTGGAATCCTGTTTCAGAGCAGGAGCTATGCCAGATAGAGTTATGCTGAAGCCTAGAGAGAGGGTGACTTGGGGTTCACCTTGGTCCTGAAGAAGAGCCCTATTTCTGCCTGGTGTCAGCTGCCAGGGAGGAGGATGGGTCGCTGTGCTCTCTGTTCTGGTGGGAGTGACTTCTAGGCTCTGTGACCTAGGAGAAGCCCCTGGGACTTATCTTGAGGAATTTGACCCAGGACATCCAGGGGCTGCCTTCCTGCCCCTGCAGCAAGCAGCTCTCGGGATTAGTGGTCCTGGACGAGCTGTTTCTTTCTTCTGTGTGAATGCCCCGTCATTCACGGTCCCTCTCCTGTACGGAGGACGATCGCTGACTTCTCTGGAGCACTCGGTTCAGTGCACTGCTTTGTGAGTCCTGATGGTAGATGTGTCAGGAGCAGGCAGTTCTCATGGGCTTAGAAGTTTCAAATGACACTACATGAGAATTAATACTTTAACTCTGACAAATGACTCATTTATGTCTGGATTTTAAGTAAAGGTCCTAGATGTTCCCATTTTACAGGATAGTAACCTGAGGTGAAAAGAGGGATTTGTCCAGAGTCTTCAGCCAGTTAATGGTTGAGCTGTGACTCAAATCCAGGTCACCTGATCTGGCTCCTGTGTTCTTTCTCATTCATCCTCCTCCCTTTGTCCCTGGTTTTATGTCTTGTCATTTCTGCATTTGGTTTTGGTTCAGACAATCCCTGCCAGGATGGGCGAGGGCCTTCCGGGTTCCTGCGAGATGGCAAGGACAGGGCACACTTCTTCCCCTCCAGTCCCCTCTCAGTCCCCGCCTCCCAGACCTTCCGGGTTCCTGCGAGATGGCAAGGACAGGGCACACTTCTTCCCCTCCAGCCCCCTCTCAGTTCCCGCCTCCCAGACCTTCCGGGTTCCTGCGAGATGGCAAGGACAGGGCACACTTCTTCCCCTCCAGTCCCTCTCAGTTCCCGCCTCCCAGACCTTCCGGGTTCCTGCGAGATGGCAAGGACAGGGCACACTTCTTCCCCTCCAGCCCCCTCTCAGTCCCCGCCTCCCAGACCTTCCGGGTTCCTGCGAGATGGCAAGGACAGGGCACACTTCTTCCCCTCCAGTCCCCTCTCAGTCCCCGCCTCCCAGACCTTCCGGGTTCCTGCGAGATGGCAAGGACAGGGCACACTTCTTCCCCTCCAGTCCCCTCTCAGTCCCCGCCTCCCAGACCTTCCGGGTTCCTGCGAGATGGCAAGGACAGGGCACACTTCTTCCCCTCCAGTCCCCTCTCAGTCCCCGCCTCCCAGACCTTCCGGGTTCCTGCGAGATGGCAAGGACAGGGCACACTTCTTCCCCTCCAGCCCCCTCTCAGTTCCCGCCTCCCAGACCTTCCGGGTTCCTGCGAGATGGCAAGGACAGGGCACACTTCTTCCCCTCCAGTCCCTCTCAGTTCCCGCCTCCCAGACCTTCCGGGTTCCTGCGAGATGGCAAGGACAGGGCACACTTCTTCCCCTCCAGTCCCTCTCAGTTCCCGCCTCCCAGACCTTCCGGGTTCCTGCGAGATGGCAAGGACAGGGCACACTTCTTCCCCTCCAGTCCCTCTCAGTTCCCGCCTCCCAGACCTTCCGGGTTCCTGCGAGATGGCAAGGACAGGGCACACTTCTTCCCCTCCAGTCCCTCTCAGTTCCCGCCTCCCAGACCTTCCGGGTTCCTGCGAGATGGCAAGGACAGGGCACACTTCTTCCCCTCCAGTCCCCTCTCAGTTCCCGCCTCCCAGACCTTCCGGGTTCCTGCGAGATGGCAAGGACAGGGCACACTTCTTCCCCTCCAGTCCCTCTCAGTTCCCGCCTCCCAGACCTTCCGGGTTCCTGCGAGATGGCAAGGACAGGGCACACTTCTTCCCCTCCAGTCCCCTCTCAGTCCCCGCCTCCCAGACCTTCCGGGTTCCTGCGAGATGGCAAGGACAGGGCACACTTCTTCCCCTCCAGCCCCCTCTCAGTCCCCGCCTCCCAGACCTTCCGGGTTCCTGCGAGATGGCAAGGACAGGGCACACTTCTTCCCCTCCAGTCCCTCTCAGTTCCCGCCTCCCAGACCTTCCGGGTTCCTGCGAGATGGCAAGGACAGGGCACACTTCTTCCCCTCCAGTCCCCTCTCAGTCCCCGCCTCCCAGACCTTCCAGGTTCCTGCGAGATGGCAAGGACAGGGCACACTTCTTCCCCTCCAGTCCCCTCTCAGTTCCTGCCTCCCAGACCTTCCGGGTTCCTGCGAGATGGCAAGGACAGGGCACACTTCTTCCCCTCCAGTCCCCTTTCAGTCCCCGCCTCCCAGACCTTCCGGGTTCCTGCGAGATGGCAAGGACAGGGCACACTTCTTCCCCTCCAGTCCCCTTTCAGTCCCCGCCTCCCAGACCTTCCGGGTTCCTGCGAGATGGCAAGGACAGGGCACACTTCTTCCCCTCCAGTCCCTCTCAGTTCCCGCCTCCCAGACCTTCCGGGTTCCTGCGAGATGGCAAGGACAGGGCACACTTCTTCCCCTCCAGTCCCCTCTCAGTTCCTGCCTCCCAGACCTTCCGGGTTCCTGCGAGATGGCAAGGACAGGGCACACTCTTCCCCTCCCAGACCTCTCAGTGTCCCTTCCTGGAGATGTCCTCAAGCTCCTTGCTGTGAGGGCAGGTGTGCCAGCTCTGCTCCGGGGTCTGGCTCCTGCAGGCCAAGGGGCCATTCTATTCCAGCTGCCAGTGGATGAAGGGGTGCACGGGAGGAGTGAGGACAGGCTGCTCAGGAGCTTCTCTGGCCTCCAAGTGGGAGAGTCCTGGTGGAAAGGCCCCCTCTGTCCTGGAGGCTCCATTCCATCTTAGGCTCCTCCCTACTGGATTGCCCCTGAGGCATCATCACAGGGTGAGTCAGGACCTATACTGAGAGTAGGGGCAGGAAGGGTTGGTAGATGTTGGAAGGGAACAGGGGTGCTCTCCTCCTCCATACACTTGCCTGAGCCGGTGCTTGGCCCAGGACTTCATTCATTCCTGTGGCCCATGTCAAGAATCTGCATACATGGGCCAGAGTGTCAGTCTTTGAGCGGCTCATTTCTGCAGTCCCATACCCTTGCCCCCTTGCTAAGGAGAGGCAGAGGCAGGTTGCCTGCCCGATTCTTAGCGTTGGGGAGAGTTGGGCAACCTGTTTTCTGGTTTGGCACCACCAGCCAGCAGCTGCTGTGCGCTTCCCTCTCCTTTCCTCTGCTGGGGCCACGAGCTGACTGACAGCGACAGCACTGACCTTATTCGGGTTTCTCCTTGCTCTGGCTGGGGCCTTTCTTTCCTTGAGTGCAGGGAGTAACCCTTAGCAAGAGCTTCAGGAGATTCTGGCTGGACAGAGGAAGGGGCCACATGTAGGTGCCATATAGCTTTGGGGTCTTTGTGTGAAGGTGAGACAGGTGGTCCAGGAGGCACAGCGGTGCTCCCTGAAGCTGATAATTGGTCTGGCCATATCACAGGGGGCCTTTGGGCCCCAAGTTCTGGAAATCTCCTCCAGTGGCCTTATCCCCTCCCAAGTTTTTCTAGGACCCAAGTCAGCTTCCTTCTGTGCCTACAGGGCCCTCTGGTCCCCTTTTGGGAACAACCTCTTGCCTACTGTGGACCCTGCCTTCCCTCCCCTGGCTCGGTCCCCCTGCCTCCATGGAGAGATCAGCACTGAACTGTAGTCAGGACTCCTGGGCGCAGCCCTCAGATCCTCCTTGGTTCTCGTCAGGGTGTGCTTTTGCTTCTAGAGCCTGTTGAAGTTGTAGGGCCCATCGTGGCCCTTCCTCTCCTCAGATCGCGTTTGCCCTCATCCGTTTGATTCTCTTCCTTCACCTTCATGCACCTTCATCAGACTGTCCTTGTCGCAGCCCACCTTTTCCATCTGTAATTTCCAGGAGCATGGGTGGGAGGTGCGTACAGCCTCCTTGCCTTGACATAGCCTCTGAAAGAATAACTTGTCCCCTCCCTTCCATCCTTCCTCTCTTCTTACGCTGTCCTTCCCCCTCCCAGCCATTTTCCGAGCTGCCATCGACTGAAGCTTTGTCACCTTGTGGTCTCTGGTTGTTTAGGCAGCATCTGCCTCCCAGCTCTGTCTTGCACATCCTGCCTGCCACTCTGCACTTGCATCTCTTGCCCTGCATGTCTTCTCGGGAGGTGCCTGCTTCTGAGCTTCTCTCCTGAGTCTTCAGGTGACAGAAAGCAGGGTCTGGGGCTCTAGGAGGTACCCGTGGTGGAGTGTGTGTGAGGGCACAACGGAAGGGGTTGTGTCAGGCAGGTTTCATTTGAGGTTGTTGGAGTTGCCTCGTCTGAGGGATGCCTGTCGTCAGGCCCCTCAGCTTGGTGTGGTTTCCACAGGGAGATTCTGCTGGATGCTCTTCTCTTTCAGCCGGACCTACAGGTGGGGCTTCTAAGCCCAGGAGGGTATGGGGACTGGCAGCTATATACAGTTTGGAGATCAGTTCCTTCCTTCTGTCTCTGGGTCTGGACTTGGTTCCCTTGCTCACTGCTCCCAGCCAAGGAGCCTGGGCTGGGCTGGAGTCCTGAGGGTCCCCATTTAGAAGATCCAGGAACGGGTGAGAGTTGAGAGGCCCAGGCTAGGTCAAAGCTGAGCTGCTGTCTTTTTCCAGGGAGCTGTACGGGCTGCTCAGCCACCTTCTCAGTGCTGAAGAAGAGGGTAAGTCTCCTTGAGGGTGCCCTGTCGGGTCTCAGTCCTGTCCCACCTGGGCACCTCCCCAGTCCCACAGTAGTCCCAGGTTCCTTGGGTGGGATCACTGGGTAGACAGGAGAGGAGCTGGGGGCTCCAGGTACCTGGGGCGGGGGGTGCATCTGATATTGACCTTGGCACTTGTCCTCAGCGAAGCTGCAGTAACTGTGGAAACAGCTTCTGCTCCCGGTGCTGCTCCTTCAAGGTGCCCAAGGCTTCCATGGGCGCCACAGGTGAGTGGTGCACAGAGCTGGGGGGCAGGGCAGTGGGTGGGCTTGGCTGGTTCCCACCTCCTCAGAGGAGGCGTGCTTGTGGGATAGGAGTGAGGGGTCACTGATAGGTCTGGCCCATAGTAACTTCTCCTCCATCACCCTTTAACAAACAAAAACCTGAAATATTTGATGCATGCATGCATGCAAAAAAGATATATCTCAGTTATGAAGCATAATCATGAATGCCTGTGACCGCTCCACTGAAGTTAAACACAGAGCAGTGTCGGCCACACCACCGGGGCTCCCCGTGCCACGCCTGCCTTCCCCGGGGAGACCGCCGCCCTGCAGTTCTTTCTTTTTCTCATTACCTTGGTAATACTTTTGACAAAAGAAAGAAGAATGCCTTTTCCTTCTATAAAAGCTGTACATATGAATTGTCAACGAAACGTACGGCTGAGCAACAGGAAGAGCCCCCGTGCACATAGGCTGCTGCTAATGCCCAGTCCGGGAGGGAGCATGCTTCACCTTGTTCCTCGTAACGTTGCAGGGAGACATTACAGGCGCTCTGTTTTTCCTTCTGGTAATGAAAGTAGCCCATGCTTATACTAGATGTTTTGGAAATTACTAGACAGAAGAAGTAGGAAGAGAAAAATGATCCTGTAATCTTACCACCCAGAGATAACCACTGTTAAAACATTTTGGAAATTTTTCTTCTAGGACTTTATTTAAAAAATATTTTTAAAGGTGTTGAGCTGGTGGCAAAATAATTTCTAATGCATAGAATACCTGGAAGAGGCCTGCTGTTGGCATGGTCACTCCCAGAGCCCCTGGTTCCCATGAACAGAGAAGTCTCCAAGGGCAGGCTAGTGAGTTGGTTCAGCAAGGGTGTGGGCTGGGCAGTGGGTGGTCTGTGGGGTTTGGGGGCTAGGGAAGTGGTTCTAGTAGTTGGGGCCATGAGCCAAAGGGCATGAGGAAATGTCTCACCCAATTCTTCCTTCTTTTCAGCCCCTGAAGCCCAGAGAGAGACTGTGTTTGTGTGTGCCTCGTGTAACCAGACCTTGAGCAAGTGAGAAGAGGGGACAGGATGCAAGCAGGCTCCAGTCCCTGGGTCAGCAGTAGATCCCACTCTCCCTACCCCTCGCCCCATGTGGCGTGTGCTGGGCAAATGTGGCCCAAATGCTAGGTAGGCTTCCCCTCTCTGCCCTTGCTGTCTCTAGTCGGGTTCTGGAGCTGTTCCCCACTTCTGTGGATAGTTAGTATGGCTGCTCTTAAACCCCTGGGGGCGTCTGGCATGTTTGCCTTACTCTGTCCCAGGCTTAGTAGATTTAGGGTTAGGCAGGGGATTTGCGCTAGAGGGCAGCAGAGAGCCACACCTGGTCTCAATTAGGGTCTCTGGGGATCAGGGCCTCGCTCCAAAGCTGGGAATATTCTGAGACTGGAGATCAGAAACTGGGGAAAGAGATATTCTCCTGCTAGGTACTGGGCCAAGCCCTTTGCCCCTGAGAGTCTGCAGAAGGGCTTGGGAGGGCCATGCCCCAAGTCTGCTGTTTGTCCCTCCAGGCATCAGGATCTCATTGTACCCACCAGAGGGTGTGGCCTGGGCTAACAAGACCAAAAGTATTTCTAGAAACAGGGTTGAAGTCCCCAAGTTCCCCCAGAGGAGGATGTGTCTAGGAGGGCCTGGCAGAGTCCTTAGTATTTATTAACTGGAGCAAAACGTAGGGAGCCCCTGCAGCTCAAAGGACCTCAGCCCCACCTTGCAGAAACCTTGACTTGTAGAATCTTAGTCCACATGCTGCCCTGGTGCCCTCAGCCCTGATGGATAGATGCCAGGCACTCAGATCACTTCTCCCGCTGCTCAGAGCCTCGGGCACCCGTCCTCTGGCTCAGAGCTACATTTCCCCTTCCCAGCCCCTTGCCCCATGGAGTATGAGACCAGGCGAACAGAGCAGAGGTCTTGAAGCCTTTGACCCTTGGGGGCCTGGGAAGTGTGTGATTTTGCTGAGCTGGGTCCTAAGTTCCAGGACTGGACAGTCTCAGTTATGGGACAAGGCCACTTGGGGTCCCCATCTTCTCTCCAGCAGTTTCATATTCCCTTGTATACTCTTCAGGGCTCTGTGTCTCTAAGCCATGAGCGGGCTCAGGCACCCCTACCTTCCCCTGGAGCCTTTTTGAAGTATTTATTTATTTATTGTATGGTTCCTGGGAACATGTGGCACAAGGAATGGACCGAGGAGGATGGGGGCTTCTCCTGCTTTAGGATGCTACCCTGGAGTCTTGGGCTGCCTGGGACTCAGAGCCCATAGGTGGTGATGTTTCTATACCCTAAGCAGGGGCCCTGGAGGCAGATTGGGGAGACAAGGACCATCCTAGGCCAGTTTTCTTGCCAGGCCAACCAGTCTAGCCAGGGCTGGGAAGACAGGGTTCTGCTCCCGGCCAGTGAGGTGCAAGTCTCTGGGGAACCAGGCAGGTCTTGGTGTATCCCCTTTCTCGGGCTCCCTTTTCCTGTTCAGAGATGAGAGTTAAGTGTCCTGTGCTTTATTACACTGGAGAGGAACAAAAGGACTTTTGTGTATGTGGAAAATTATCAATAAAAAGGCCTCATGTGTCTTAAGTTTTTGACCTGGTCCTTGCACTCACCTTCTCTCTACAGATGGAGAGCTGGACCCCCCAGTGCTGGCTGAGTTTGCAGGCCGAGGCTGTGCCTGCAGCACAGGGCTGGATGGGCGTGGAGGCTGAAGTTGGGGTGTGAGCCGGGGCAAAGGGAGGAAAGCCTTGCACACGGCAGGCTCAGCACATGTTTGTTGGATTGACTTGAAGCTCTGTCTTGTGACCAAATTGTGGGGCTGGGCTTGGTTGGTACCAGAATTCAGTAAACTCTAAGCAATGCAGGCTTTAGAATGGAAAGATTTTAGCTAATCTCTCTGAGGAAGCAAAAAAGGATCTACTAGCCGGAAAGAGGAGTGGCTGTGAGATGGGGGAGAAGCAGCTCTCCCAGAGTGGGGCTGGGGCTGTGGACTGGCTGCCAGGCCCTGTTGTAAGTGCTTCACATACACTGTTTAGTTGAACCCTCACAGTGCCCTCTGAAGCAGGTGCTGGACTTCTCCCCATTTCACAGGAAAGGAAACTGAGGCCCAGGGAAGCTAAGCAGTGGCTGTGAAAGGCTCAGCACGGCACTGTGCAGACCAGGGCTGGATAGGAGCTGTGTCTTCTGGACGGTAGGCCTGGGGAAGTGAGGGAGTGAGCGCAAGACCCACCCTCAGGGAGGAGGTTAGGTGGCAGCCCCCTGTATGTGCACTCGGACGGAGGTGCCAGGGTGTCCTCGAAGCATGCTGCGGCCTTGGTCTGGTCTAGGTGGGATTCTACAAAGCTCGGGAAATTCACCCAGTGTGGAGGAGCCCCAGCAGCTCCAGAGGGGTCCTGAGAGGCAAGGAAGCAGCCAGGACCTTGTCCTGACAGTTTATACAGATGAGCATGTTCACTTTAAAAAGTATCAAGGCAGCCCTGGCTGGTGTGGTTCAGTTGGTTGGGCATTGTCCTATGCACGGAAAGGTTGCTGAATTTTCCCAGTCAGGGCACAAGCCTGGCTTGCAGGCTTGATCCCCGCTAGAGGGCGTTCAGGAGGCGCTGATTAATGCTCCACTCTCACATCGATATTTCTCTCCCTCTCCCTTCTTACTCTCTAAAAAAAAAAGGGAATTAAGGCAGCCTCAGCAGACTGGTGGGCCAGAAGATGGAGGAGGGGAAAAGAAAAGAGGGCCTTTGAGCAAGAGGGGACAGGAATGACAGCAGAGGCCAAGGGAAGGGGTGGCTGTGCTGTGCTGGCACTTCTCGTGGGTGTGTCCTGGTAGGGCAGTGGGGAGGCTGCCCAGAGATCATCCAGTCCTCCTGCCTCTCACTCAGAAGTGGCACCGTGTCCATTTGTGGATGTGTGTTCCGCATGGCGTTAGATGGACTGGGGCCTTAGGGCCTGCGTTAGCCAGGGAGTGTCCTGGGGATGGTAGGGGTGGGTGCTTGCTGTGGGCCAGCTCCATCCTTGGCCCTGCTCTGCCATCAGCTGCAGTGACACCATGTGAGTTGCCATAGGGGCATTCCTCCAAGCCTTTCTGTGCTGCTTTACTCATCTGTAAAATGGGCATGATGGTGACATTGCCTTGTAGGGCCACTGTGAGGGTTAAATGAGATAGTCCATGTGAGGTTGGAGTGCAGTGTCTGGCGCATAGTGAGGTTCAGTAAACGCCACCTCATTACCATCATCCTGGCAGTCTTCCGAGAAAGAAGAAACAACTGCCCTGGGTGGCTTAGAACAGTGATTTTTTTTTTTTAACTATACCAAAGAATAGTCTTAGATTGTTATTCAGGAAAGAATCTCAGAGAGTGGCCAGAGTGTAGTTGGAGTAAGGAGAGTCAGTACCATTTTATTTTGGGAAAATGAAAACAATGCCAAATGCTGGTGAAATGCAGAATAGTGCAAGTATTTTGCAGGGCGTGGGATACAGGCCGTGAGAAACAGTTCCCATCGTCCGAGGTCCATAGCTCCAGAGAAGGGAAGCTGGGAGGCACCTCCTTGTCTCACGTGGTCATGTGAGGGCCTCAGTGACAGCAGGTCAGGGATGGACCTCTTTACAGTGCAGGTACCACGAGGGAAAGGAAACCACAGACGGGTTGTCAGGACTGGATTGTGCCTTACAGTTGGCTGGCTGGGGTCAACAGTGAGGAGAGGGTTGAATGTGGGGTGGCCTGGAAGACAGACTGTTCATTGCAGCATTGAATGCCTGTTTGAAAGATTCTTTCCAGTTCTCAAGCACCCAGGAGGAAGGCACAGAAGCCAGGTTCAGTGACAGCCCTGCTGCCTGCTGGGGCAGACCCGGGATGGGCTGCCAGCTCCCACAGCCTGCCCATCTTTCCGTGGTTTGGTCGTGGTGGGGAGCAGCCTCTAGTGGCCCTGGGCCTTGTACTGGCTGTGCTTTCTAGGATCTTTGTGGTCCTTGATCACCATCGATGCTGAAGCCAAACAAAGCTCTATTTTCATTCCCTTGTCTCCATGGAACCTTCGAGGCCACCCTCTCGAGGGCCCCTGGCTCCAGCATCCTACCGTGGTGGCCCTCAGATCATGAAATGCCTATGTTTATTGAGCACTTGTGCCAGGCAACATGCTGAGCACATTATCGTTTAAATCTTATGGAAGTCCCCCAAGCTAATCCTGTTATTTATCCCATTTACCGAGGGTTATATGAAGGCCCTGGGAGGTTAAATAACCTGCCCCAGGCCACATAGCTCGGAAGCCACTGGGCCAGGACGGTAATTGTGCCACAGGTACCTATAGAGGCCTCATAAGAGAACTTTGGGAGAACAGCAATCCTGACTGTCCCCTTCCCCTGTTCTGCCTTGCCCCCACCAGCTTCGGAGCCACTGAGCTAGCAGGAAAGGACTTCCCACCCCAGCCCTAACAAAGTGGGCTCAGCCTCCAGGGGAACAGAGGCAGCCTTGTGGTAGGAGCTCACCCCACTCCGCCAGCTCCCAGCACCCCCCCCCTTCCTTGGCTGGGTCTGTTTTAACACCCAGAGCAGCACATTCCATTCTCTGGTACAACTGGGGGCTGGGGACTCCGGATTCCCCTGGCCGCCTGCTCTTTTCACGGCCCCAGTAGAGCCCGCTGTCTGGGTTGGGACACTGGGTCCCAGCCACACACATTCCAGCAGCAACCACCCCCCACGTTGTATTTCCCAAGGAGTGAACTTTAGCTAGGATTACAGCCGACTAAACAGTTGTGGGATGTGAGCTTCCTTTGTGGGACCCAAGAGGCTGAATGCTGATGGGGCTGAGAGAGGAGTGGGTCAGGGTGGGCTGCTCTGGGAGTCTCGAGAAAAGCCACAGTCTGAGGCTGGCTCCTCTGCTGCTGTCGGGGTTCTTGGAGTGGGGTTGGGAGAGGGCTCCCAGAAATCTTCCTGTGCGGCGGGGGGCAGGAGCCTGGCTGCCTGTCACCCTCTGGCCTTCCTTGGCTCAGATCCTAGCACCACCGCCGCATACAAGCTGTGTGACCTTCAACAAGTTCCTTGCCCTCTCTGAGCCTCAGCCACCTCATCGTTAAAATGGGGACAATAACAGTACCTACCTCAAGGGCTGTGGGGCAGCTTAAGTTAGAATGTTAAAATGCTTTGAGTAGGGCCTGCCACCCAGCATAGGCGGACACTTATTGATCACTGGTATTATATGTCTTTCCCCCTATATTGGCTTACACACCACTGGGGATGTATTTTCTGAAGCAAAAGTCCAAATGTAGGTTCCATGCCCCTTCTGAAAGTGACAGCTCTGGCTTTTAGATAAACGGCTCCTGTCTTCTCATCAGTAGTTGGTTAACAAGTCAATTCGGGATTTCTTGAGCAGTATTTATGTGCGGGCACTGTGCTGGGTAATGGCCTTTGGTTCATAAAAATACTGATTACCATTTAATGAGCACCTTCCAAATGCTGGACATTGTTTCCAGGTACTTTTCATACATTTTCCCACATAACACTCAGTTACCTTGTGAAGTAGACATTTTACAGCTGGGCTGTGTTCCCAATGTCACACGGCCACTGTTACAGGATTAGAACCCAGAACTGGGCTTTACCACCTTTTCTCGCCTGATTCTGAGTGTTCAGCAGCCTCCCCCACCTTCCTGCACTCTATCAGAACTCTGATTTTGTACCCCGCTGAAATGCTTGACTTCCTCTGCTCCCTTGCAACTAGGGGTGAGCACGTGACTTGGTCCTGGCTGGTGAGCTAGAAGTGGAAATCTACCATGTGGGACATGTTGGGAAATTACCGTTTCCCTGATCAAAAGAGCCAGAGGCAGCTGACATGCTTTTGCCATTAGCCCTTCCATACCTTGCTGCCTGAGTGGCCCAGAAGCTGGGAGGAGGAGGCACCATCTTATAACCATGAGCACAAAAGCCACCCCCTGGCAGAGCAGGGAGACAGGATGGGTCTGGGACATGGACCTTTCCCCTGCCCGCCTCCACTGGAGAAGCCCCACTGTTTCTCGGCATTTCTGTTCCACGCAGTCAGAGGCTGTCCTGGATGCCCGCTGACAGCGCCCGCTGCCTGCTGCAGACCAGCCAGGAGGGAGCGCTGTGGCTAAGGAAATGAAGGGTGGGCTCCAGGGCCTCCGTGGGCTCTGGGAGGGTTCGTCTTGGTCCCAGGGAAGAAATTGCTGAGGGTCTGACAGCAGATATTGGGGACAGAACCGTGGAGAGCAGGCCTGGTCCCTTTGTGCGGGTGGGTAAGAAGTGCTTCTGGGGCTGGGCTAAGGGAGCCTCTCCCTGCCTGCTCCCTCTCTTGGCTGCCAGCACCTGACAGAGGTCAGTATTGTGCTCTAGCCAGAAGAGGCACAGTCCTGTATGTTCAGTGGAAAAATAATCCCTGATCCTGGTTGACCATAGAAGTGTCCGTAAACATTTGGTCAGGGTAGGAGGCTGGGAGACAAGGGGCGGATTCAGGGAGCCAGGTGGGCCGGGCAGGCTTTGGGCAAGGGTGGGTGGCGGTGGCTTCCTCAGAGGTGAGGAGAAACAAGCAGGCCTCTGCTGCTCCTGACCTGTGGTGAGGCCACCTGATGGCCCGAGGAGGTGATTTACGGGCAGACTGTCAGACCACCTGTTAGCTCACCCTGGCCCCACAGCAAGAACTCAGGCCCCTGGACTCCTCGTTTCTCTGAGGCAACATGCTCCCCTGAGAGCCACGGGAGCCAAGATGGTCTCACCTCCCAGGATTGTGGTTCCATTGTTTTACTGTGATGGAGGAGCCAGACCATGGCTGGCCTCGGCACCCCTGCTGCACCCTCACTGGTGTCCCCAGCTCCCTGCTCTGGGCACATCTGCCCTGTCCCTCAGTATCTGCTGATGGACTTCCCCCCCTTTCTGGGCACCACCTCTTCCAAATGCTGGACATTTGGTAACAGCCTGTTGCCTCCGTTTCGGGGCTGGTCCCCTCCCTGTCCCATCCAGCTCGAGGGAGCAGCCTCCATCTGCTCTGAGTTGACAGAGAAGCCCCTCAAGCATGATAGCTGGTCCCCTCTCTGCCTGCAGGACCAACACCCTTCCAAGCCCGAGGAAACCTCAGCCCCTCGCCCTCCTCCTGCCTTAGCTGTGGGCTTATGCAGATACCTAGATGGAGGTTCTCAACCCGGGGTTGCAAACCACCCCAGGGAGCATGGTGAAATGCTGATTTCTGAACACCCTCCAGAGATTGGGATTTAATTGTTTAGAGTGAGGTCCGGGGTTTTGTAGAAGCTCCTTCGATGATTGGAAGCTTTATGTGTTAAACTAGATTCTGACACTGCAGGTGTGGGTGGGCCTAACCTTCTACTTCATGCGGATGCTCTGGTCCAGGGACCACGCTGAGAGACCGCTGCCCTGCCCTCATCTCCGACAGGGCAGGGCCCGTGTGTGGGGGTGTCAGTGCTGGAAGCGCAGGAGCGACACGTTCAGGCCTCCGGCCCTTCTGAGTGGTACCGTGGCCCAGCCTTCTTGGGCTCCTTGGAGCAGGCATGGCTGGAGTTTGCAGACCATGGGGGTGTTCTGACCGTGGGAGTAGGCTGGGGAACTTGGCATCTCTGTCCCTCCTCAGGGGCAAAGACGGTCATTTCCACCCATCATTAGTGGGAGGGACTAGGGTGACCCTTGTAGTGTGCTCTTGGGGCATTGTGCCCAGACACGACATTGCTCTTAGTCATTCTGAGTCTGTCTGTGTGGACAGGCCATGGGCTATGGCAAGGGCCTCTGGCTAAAGGTCCCTTCTGAACCTCTGGGGAACTGCCTGACAAAGAAATCACCTGATCAAAACCAACTGTTGTTTTCTTTGATTTAATTAAAAACTTTAAAAAATTGAAAAACCAAACCTACGTGCATCAGTCTAGTACCTGTGGCCTTGTAGCAGTAGCAATAATTTACTTGTTGTCAAGGTAAAAGGGGCACGTGGGGGCTGAGGAATGAATCCAAGGAGTGAGCCTATGAGAGGGGGTCTAGGCTGGGCTTCTCTCCAGCTCTGGGGGAAGGGAACTGACAGAGATGGGACAGTGGGGAGGTGTGGCTAGAGGGTACTGTGACCCTAGTGCCTTTCCTTTGGGGGCTAGGAGAAGACACATGAAGGGGCAGTGGGGGTGGAGAACTGTCCTCCAGTAGCTCAGCCTCATATCAAGACCCCTCTCCAAGGCCTCACCAGCAGCAGAGGGGAGCTGACATCATGGTCCCCTCCAGAAACCCCCGGGGCCACTCACAGCCCCTCCACCCTTCCCTCCATCTCTCTTCCCTGCCTACTCTCTGAGACCCTGGGGGTCCCCCCAAAAGAGAATGCCTTATTTCTAAGAGAGGAAGCCTCAGACACCCCAGAAGACCTTGGTCAAGGACTCCATGCCCATCCCTTGGAGCCTGCGCTGGGATTCAGGGCCAGGCCAGGGGGCAGGAGGTGACAGTGCGCCCCAAGGCAGGGACAGAGGGCAAGGCACAGCTGGCTGGTGGGGCCGGGAGGGGCGCTGTTCAGTGGGGCTCAGCAGCCCCGTAGAAGAAGGGGTAGTAGAGGGAGCAGGGGTAGGAGAACATGAATTTGACAGCGAACTTCATCTCCTTATTCTTCTTGTCCCAGCGGTAGACGGCCATGAGCAACAGCTGTCCATCCACCTTGCGGCCCATGACCAGGAAGCTGCCAGCCAGGCTGTCCAGCTGCGGGCAGGGGCAGCCCGCGCCATTCTTCATATGCAGCACCAGCCTCTTGGTGTCCTTGCGCTTCAGGGGGCCCGGCTTGAGCAGCTTCTTCTTTTTCTGGGCTCCAATCAGCTTCCGGTCTCCGTTCTCTATCTTGATCTCCTTGATGCGCATTTTGACCACTGTGTGGGGGTGGACAGAGGACAAAATGAGGATGGTCAGGTTTGCTCAGGATGCTGTGCCTGTCACAAGCCTGGGGCTCGGAGAGGTGGGGCTTATTATACCCGAACATTTTAATATTTATGAAGCTCCCATAATGTGTTGGACTTTCACAGACTTTATCACATTTTATCCTGCAGGTACGGGTGAGGGGTGAAATGAGCCTCTATTCTAGGGAGAAGCCAGAGAATAAATTTTCCACACAGGGAAGGAAATAGTTATAAAATCTCTTCCCTCCTTTCTCCCTTTCCCCCTACCTCCTCATTTTCTCTCTTGGATACACAAACACCTTGCTATGGTGGTATTCTCTTTCCAAACAGACTAGTGCCATGAAAGAGCTGCTGAAGTAAGGATTTCTTTGCTCTCTCTCTTTTATGGACAGGGAGGCCAAGACACAAAACAGGAGCCGACTTGGCGAAGATCACAAGCTAGGCTGTGTGGTCCACACAGGAGCCAGGGCCTGACTGCACTTGGCTCAGCTGCCCCAGGACTGGGGAGGCTCCAGGATGAAGCTGTGGCACAGGTGACCACAGCTCCCATGGCCAGAGTGCCTCAGGGACTCGGCAGAGGACCCCAGGGACAAGGGGGCTGCACTTTCGTCCTGGAGTCCATCTCTCCCCACTTGCTGCCCCATCCATCTCGGAACTAAGCCTGCACCCCCAGAGAGAACCCAGCCCGAGAGGCCCCCGTGTGGATAGTGCCAAGGGAGCACTGCAGGAGCCCAGGGCAGGGATGGTATCTGAGGTTGTGGACCATGGCCTGAAGTCCCTGAGATGACAAAAACGAGGGGCATGTCTCTGCTGGGAGGGTGCATGGTTATCATCAGTCCAAAAGGGTCCATAAAGCAGAAACAGTGATGGGTGTGGGCATGTGTTCATATGTGTGTGTGTCAAGGAGGAGGGGCAGGGGTGGCCTCGTGGGCTCCACACTCACCAAAGTCACTGGAGCACATCTGCTCCATGAGGCCGTCGGCATTGTGCTCCATCTCACACTGGGCGCAGATCTTGGTCACTGAAGAGAGAAGCAAGGGCGGGGTCGAGGGAGGCTGGTGTGGGGACCAGAGTCCAAAGAGCCACTCACGGTGCAGGCTTGCCCACTGACCAGCCACCTCCCTGTGCCCAGCCCCCACTTCCTTATCAGGAAATGGGGGAATGATGGCACCTGCTCACTGAGTAGTTGTGAATATGAAAGGAGATAAGACTGTGCAGGGACAAAACTGCCCATGGGCACGATTGTCCATGACCCCAGCAGATGCAGCCATGATGTGCACTGTTTTCTTCTAAATTTTATTTCACTTAATCCTCAGTCTATGAAGTAAGTAATTCTTTATTTTTTAAAAAAAGGAAACTCAGGTCCAGAGCACTACCCAAGTCTGCAAAGCTGTGAGAACTGAGCTTAGTCGCCCCTCAGGATTGGTGACTCCAGGCTCGTGCTGGGTGGGGGTGTTTGTGGGTCTTCGTGGGTCCAGGCGTATGGGTAGACAAGTGACGCTGACAGGGCAAGGACTGTGGGAGAGGAGCACCCACTCTTCTAGAGTGGGAGGCCTTAGCACTGCCAGGATTTCTGATTTTTAAAGGAAGCCAAAATTCTCGATTTTTATATGACATATTCTGAGTTTGTCTGATACACTCAGGCTACTGGTCCTGAGGCAACTGCACAGCAACTGACCCCTGCTCTCCTATGTCTCTGTCTCCAGGTGGCCGCCCCAACATGGGGGAAAAGGGGCTCAAAGAGGGTGGGAGTGCAAGGGTAGGGGCCAGGGGTTTTCGAGCCCGGGACTTCCCTGCCTTCCAGACTGAATGGTTGGGCTCTAAGAAAACTGGAAAAAGAACCAGATTGGATCCCTGCTGGGGACTAGGCTGTCTCTTCGCTTTCATGTTCCATTTTCAACCCGTGGATGGTGGAGGGGGAGGGATTTCCCTTCTCTTGACACTCTGCAGCCACAGGACCACCACCCAACCTTGACTCTCTCAGGAGAGGGCATGGTGTGTAGGGCTGAAGACTATATTGGTGAGGTTAGCCCTGGCAGGGGTGGGGCATCCTGGGGGGTGAGGGTGGCATGCTGCGGTCCAGTTGCTCTTTGGGGACCAGGTCAGATAGGAAAAAAGGAGAGCTGTCCTGCACTTTGGGGAAATTCCAGTGTCAGGGGTTCCTTAGACTCTCCTATTAACTGCCTGGGCAAAGCTTTCCTGCTAAATGCCAGGGTTTATCCTCCTGTCTGGTGCCATCTGGGGGTTACTCTGCCTGGAAGGAGCTGGGAAGATGAGGGAAGGTGAAAGGGATGCAGAGTGACGGGAGGCTGAGACCAAGCAGGAAGTAGGGGTCATGGGACTTGGTGGGTGGGAGGCAGCACCCAGGATGTCACAGGTTTCAGGAACCTGGGGGAAACCGATGCTCAAAATTAAGCAACTCCCGGAAGGGGCAGAGCCTGGCAATATTCTCTTTCTTCTGCACTGAGCCTTGCCTAAGGTCTCCCAGTCTGGGGGATTGGGAAGAGAGTGGGAAAATAGGGTTCCCAGGAACAGAAAATGGGGAAATGTAAATCATAGCCCAGGTATGCACTTAGCTCCCGGTCTTTCACGATATCCCTTCTATCAGCCCTCTTCTCCTCCCAAGGTCCCCAAACCGGGTGGGGACCCTTGCCTGGGTACCGTGGGGTCCAGGGTTGTGGGGGAGGTGAAAGGCATTGTTTAGCGACCCCCAACATTCTTGGGCTGAAAGAAGCAATAAGGCATTTATCAGGATGTCCTAGGATGAGGGGACAGTACTGGGGCCATCCCAGGGATTCCAGCGGCTGGGGAAGGTGGGCGCTGCGAGGGAAGCCTGGAGGGTTTGGGGAACCGAGTTGAAATGGGGAGCAGTGGGAATGTCCACAGCCGCAGGGAGGCACTACTTCGGCAGTCCACGGGTTGATGGGAAGGCTGGAAGGCTGTGGGAGACAATCCCCCAGGGTGCTCAAGGCTAGTGAATTTGGTGTGTGTGTGTACAGGGGTTGACACCTCTGGGGGGCTCACAGAGCTGTGCTAAGGGGATGGGGGAGCGGCATCCGTCGGGGGCCCAGCTCGCGGTGCACCCAGGGCCATCGGAGCGCGAGGGGGCTGCGGTGGCGGCGCTACCTGGAGGCGCGGTGGCGGGCAGGTGCCCGAACTGCACAGCGATGCAGAGGTCGTTGTCCAGGGGAAACTTGTGGCAGTGCAGCATCTCGGGCCAGGGGAAGCCGTAGGCCTCCATGAGCGGCGCGCAGCCGGCGCGCACGGCCTCGCACAGCGAGCGGCACGGGTAGATGGGCTGGTCGAGGCAGACCGGCGCGAAGAGCGAGCAGAGGAAGACCTGCGTGTCCGAGTGGCAGCGCTTGGCCAGTAGCGGCAGCCAGCTGCTCGCCTGCTGCTTCACCTCGGCCAGGCTCTCGTGCTCCAGCAGGTTGGGCAGCCGCATGCGCTTGTAGCCCACGGTGTGGCAGAGCGGCAGGTCGGCGGGGATGTCGAGGCACTTGGGCGGTTTGGAGTACGAGCGTCCGTGCAGCGGCTCGGTCTGCCAGCCGTAGTAGTCGTACTCCTGACCGCGCGACGGCGCCCAGTGCAGCGCCCCCAACAGCAGCGCCAGCGCGGCCGCCCGCGCGCCCCCCGCCACCGCCCGCATGGCTGCGCGGTCCCCGCCGCTCGGTGCACGGCGCCCGCAGCTGCCCCGCGTGCTCCCGCCGCCACGACGCTCCCCTCCGGCCACCGCAGCCGAAGTCGTCAGAGCGGGTGGCCGATTTCGCTCCCCTCCGGGGCGCACCGAGTGGGATCCTGGCACCTCCCACCTCGGGGCTCCAGCCCGGCCTCGACGCGCGCCCCAGCCAATCTCCGGCAGCCCGCCCCCGCCCCAAGGCCGCAGGGAGGCAGGGTGGAGCCCTATTGGCCCCTCCCAGCGGCCCCGCCCCTCCCGCCCAGCGCCGGCTCACGCCCCTCTCCCGCTCCCCGGCTCCCCTGCCGCTGCCCGGGTCTCCCCTCACGCCTCTCCTTGAGGCTCCTCACCTCTCTCCACATTTTCCTCGCCCTCGCCTTCTCCATCCTTCCTCCTTATCTCTCAGCCTCAGCCTCTCCTGTTCCTTTTCTCACTCACTTCGTTTGCTTATCTCTCCGTCTCGGCCTTTCCCCCTCCTCTCTGTTTTCTCTTCCCCGACACCTCCGTTCTCCCTTCTCCCTGCAGGAGGCTCCTGGCTGCCCACACCCTCCTGGTTCAGGCGGCCAGTTCCTTACTCCTCAAGCAGTTTTTTAAACTCCTGCTTGGTGTTGGGCACCGTGCTAGCTGCTAGGGAGTCAGAGATGTGACCCCAAACCCGCCTCCAGGAACATCATAACGTAGTGGGGGCTAAGATAACTAGACCTACTATTTAGTGAGTTCTTCCTAAGTGCCAAAGACACTGCACAGCACTTTGCAACCTTATCAAGTACTATTTCTAATGATAGCTGATACTTGTTGGGTGCAAGTCTGTTCTAAGCACATTGCATAATTACCTCTTTTAATTCACACAGCAATGCTATGAGGTGGGTAGATACTATTAATAACCCCACTTTTACTGCTATAAGTTTGGAAAGGGGTTAAGAGAGGTTAAGTAATCATTGGGGTGGGGACTTGAACCCAGGTAGTCTGGTTCCAGGCTCAGAGCCCAGATACAACCAGAGGTCTGGATGCTGAGGCTGCAGGCTTAATGGCTATGGGGGAAAAAGAGAGGTGAGGTAACTGGTCCTTGGTCACATAGCTCATAGGTGAAGGAGCCAGGGCTTAACCACTCTGCCCTAAGATAAATTCCAACCCAGGGTAGTAAATGCAGTGGGAAGAGAGTGTACCTCCCCTGGGAGCTGGGAGAAGGAAGGAATTGAGGAGGATATCCAGGGAGGCATCAGAAGGCAACTTTAGGAGCCTATGTTTGGAGTCGTTTCCTTCTGTATGGGGTCTGCCTGCCATTGGCTTTACTGTCCGAGGAGTTTGGACGAGAGGCTTGTGGACAGGATGGCTGCACTTGACCTCCCAGTCTTTGCTGGGGAGGATACCCTGGGGAGGTGTCTTGTAGGAGGGCTTGGGGTGCTCTGGGATCTGGCTCTGCTGGGAGACAGGAGTGCTGAGGCACTTGTCCCCCCCCACACCACACACCTGCCCTTATCCCCACAGCCTCCCAATCCTCCCAGATGTTTCCAAGCTTCCTGGATTCGCATGGATCTGTCCTTGCAGTGGTAGTGGAGAGAGGCGAAGGGCCTCTCCTCTTAATGCTCACTGTACATGGAGCAACTACACACACACAAGGGGATGCAGAAATGTAAAAGACATAGGCTCTGCTTCATCTGATCTAGTTGTGAGAAGAAGACACAAGGCAGAGAAGGCAAAATAAAAGTCAGCAGATAAAACCTCGGGGTGGGACAGAATATCTTTTGATGCTCAGGATGACTCAGTTGGGTCCAGGAAGAACAAGCTGAGGGTATTTCTTCCCCCTATTCCCTGTCCCAGTTCCCAGCATGAAGAGGTTCTATGGATGACCACTAAGGAGGTGAAGGACCGGTCCCATACTGGGGACAGACAGAACAGTGTAGTAACAGTGCAAGAGTCTGGATTCTGCAGACAGAAAGAGTCAGGTTCAAATCCAAGTGCACACTCACTGAGTGACCTTGTGCCAGTACTTAGCCATTCCGACTCTCTGTTTCCTTGTTTGTAAGCTGGAACCTCCTCAGCAGTTATTGTGAAGGGCAAACAAAATGATGCATGGAAAGAAAGCCCCCTGCACGGTGCCAGCACATAACAGGCACCTAGGAACGTTAGCTCTCCAAGGGATGTGTGATTATAGGGTAAAGATGTGGCATGTGTTCTGAAAGCTCCCTCGGACACCTTGGCCCTGGCTCTGGTTTGGGATTCTGCTCTCTGTACTCCAGCTCATTCCAAAGTCCTCTTTCTGGCTTGGCCAGGCTTCTGCATTCCAGGGGAGGTGTGGCCTCTGGCACTGGTGGGGAGGGGTGTTGGAGCTCCCCAGGTGGTTGTACAAGGTGCTGGCTCCCTGGGCAGCTGGTCACCTGTGCTGTTCTTGGAGTTCCAGTGCCTGGTCTGGACAGAGGGAGGCATTGTTCCTGCTGCTGGTTATGTAAGACCTGCAGATGGTCCGAGAGCAGACTGTCTGTACCTGGCAGCTCCAGGGGCTCTGAGGGGAACGGGCCAGGCTGGAAGCCTCCTGGGAGAGGAGGATGGGCAGTCTTTACCCAACTCTGCTTTGGGGATCCTTGAGGCTTCCTGCTGAGACCCAGGAGGGAAGATCATCACAAGAATGGTGCCCAGCCCTGGCCAGTTTGACTCGGCGGCTAGAGCGTTGGCCTACCATCCAGAGAGACTCGGGTTCGGTTCCTGCTAAGGGCATGTACCTCGGTTGCAGTTTGTCCCCGGCCCTGGTTGGGTTGTGCGGGTGACAGCCACTCGATGTGCCCCTTTCATGTCGATGTTTCTCTCTCTCTCTCTCTCCCTCCCCACTCTATCTGAACAAAAGATGGAAAAATGTCCTCTGGTGAGGATCCAAAAAAAAAAAAAAAAATGGTGTCCAGGTGGTGCCTCACCGAGGCAGTCATCCAGGGAAGCTCTCCTGTCTGAGGCCAGGCCATTTGCTTATCCTGGCTCTGCGGCCCTAGAAGGGAGGAGGCCTCACTCCAATGTGGGTGCCCTTCCTGATGAAGCTGTTCCAGGGCCTAGGCAGCCGGGTGGAACACCTGGCATGCTTGGGCATCTGCCCATCTTGGAGGGTCTGCAGTCTCTCTAGGCACACACTTCCCCCAGCTGAGAGAGGCGACCATTTGTTTAAAAGAATGTTTATTCGTGGTTTGTTGTGAGCAAAGTCTTATACAGATACCTTGTTGGTCAAACTTGTTAATTATGTTATTTCTACTTTTGTATGGCTTACTCCAGTATTTCTCCAAGTGCAACCAGGATTCTTCTGAGGGTCCTCAAGTCCCTTTCAGGGGTTCTGCAAGGTCAAATGGTACACAATTCCAAGATCCACTCAAAATGCAGGCTAGACCAACAGATTTTAAGGTAACAGAGTAAGAAAAGTTTATTGATATGGATTCGGATTCTACATTATATCAGACATTTAAGGAACTGCCGCTAATATGTTAATATTTTTGGTAGTATCCAAGAAGAATATCCACAGTATCCGAAAGGCTATTGGAATACTCTCCTGTCCAGCTACATTTCTGTGTGAGGCCACATTTTCTTCAAATATTTCAAGCAGAACAGTATCTAACAACACACTGAATGCAGAAGGAGATAAGAGAATCTATTTTCTTGTTAAGCCAGACATGAAAGAGATTTGCAAAAATGTAAAGCAATGCCTCTCTTCTCACTAATTTTTTTGTTTTGTAAAATATAATTATTTTTCACAAAATTTATGTTAATGTATAATGGGTTTATTATTGTTATTTTAAATAAGTTAATAAATAAAAATTTTCTGTTTTATTTTAAACATGGTAAATATTGATAGGTGTAAACCCATATAAATAATAGCTCTTTAATATAAAACCTCAATGAATTTTAACAATATAAAGATGTCCTGGGACCAAAAAGTTTAAGAATCACTGGTTGACTTATTCTGTTCATTTCTGATAGAAGTATATTACATCTACTTTGATTGTTGATTTTTTATTTTTCCTCCCCCCCCTTGAATCACTTTGCTTCATATACTTAGAAGCTATGTTGTTAGGAGCATAAAGTTTCGTGATTATATGTTCTGGTTGGATTGTAATTTCTATCTGTATATAATAGTCTTCTTCGTTCTGTTTAAGGCTTTAGTCTTGGGAATAATAATTCTACAAACCAATATTAAACTAGAGCCTTCTATGGGCCAGGCTACGTGTGAGAGTCCGAACCTGTCCACGGGGGGGAACATGAGCACACCACGGCAACGCGGTGTAGCAGGAAGAGTCTGGGCTTTGAGTCAGACTGACTGGTGGTGAGTTCTGTCATTTCCTAGCAGTGTGTTCTTGGACATATGTCTGTTGGACTTTGAACATGACTTTCTTCATCTGTCAAATGGGGTTAATAACATTTGTTTACTTGGTGGTGGTGAAAACTTACTGAGATAAGGGATGGGAAAAGCACCTGGCAGAGTACGTGGTTGTCTGTGGTGACAACATAGCCAGGGGCCGCGAGATCTGCCCCATTTGTGCCGCCTTACAGAGCACCCAGGAGAGACAGTGTGTCATAGTGGGGCGTGCACGAGCTTGGATTAAGAAGATCTGTGTTGTGTTTTGTTTTCAACTTAATAGCAAGTCTGTCCCCCTCCGCCCGATCCTGAGTCTCGGTTTTCCTCATCTGTAAATTGGGAGAACCACCTCTGACTTCCATTCCCCATGAGGCTATCTTGAGGATAAAATGTGATAGTGAAAAGGGTTGGGATGATGGTGCAGGTGAGGTTGACTTTGTCCTTGGCCTGCTGTTGGGAACCTCTTCTGTCCTCTGCTGTGAGGAGGTCCTGCCAGCAAAGACTTGCCCACCTCTCAAGAAGGTTGTGTCACCTGACAGATATTGGTGTCAATTCAACGGCCAACAAGACTCCCCAGTTTGGGGTGCACTGAAGAAGGAAACTTCACTCAATGCAGAACGGCTCAATTGTGATACAGCATGGCTGCAGAACAACTCTGGAGTCAGGCGTCCTGGGGCCAGGCCCCTCTCTGTGCACTGTGCCAGTCTGGTTTGTGCTGTGTTAGTCTGCTCCACTCTGCTCTGGCTAGACTTTTTCAGTGTTTCAGCTGGAAACGCACTAAGAGGCCAGGCTTATA